GTGGGGGCTGGAAAGCTATTGGCGACACATGCATCATGACAGTAACAGCGAGGAAGAACACCTAAAACATGACTGAATCCCATATGGAAACAAACAGACAGCACCATAGACCACTTATATACGGATGTTTGCAGCCATACAAAACTCCTCATATCCACGGCATCTGTACTATGTGGATTAAACTCTTTTTTAAAGATGATATGTTGTGTCCACGGGCGGTTCTAGAGAGGTGTGCCACCATCTAAAAAAGTCCTGGTTGTCCCAACCGCCACCCCAGCTTGGTGTCAAATGCTGTCAAATTAAACACTTTAATTTAGATTAATTAATGAAAATAACATATATAAATTATAAATTAATTTAAAGGTCTAGTGTGTAAGATTTAGTGGAATCGTAGTTGCAGATTGCACCTTCCTCGCTTCACCCTCCCCTTACAGAGGAGAAACTAGCCCTATCTAGAGCCAGTTTGTCTTTTCTGGGCTACTGTAGAAACATGGCGGTCCAACGTGGCGGCCTCCACAGAAGGTGACCTGTGGCGTCTGTAAATAAAAATGGCTCATTATAATGTTTCTTTCTGTTTGATTCTTATTGTCAGGTGATTATACACTAATGAAAACATACCTATGAGTATTGTGTTCCATTTCTGACCATAGATATTCCCAAATTTTACACACTGGCCCTTTAATGATCGGTTATGGTCACGTTTTAGGCAAAGTTATGGCTTAAAAAATGTTTATAAAACAATCAGTTGAACAATTTATTGATCTCTAAAGCCACTTTTAGATATTTCTATTAAATGCTTAACTAATGTGCAACAATAATGTGAGGTTTTGAGTTAAAATATGTTCATTTGGGAGCTTTTCCAAGCAAATCTTGATAAATGTGATTGTTTGCAATTAAATCAGCATATTTCTGCGACCCCTTACAGTCTCCATGCCACCCTCTTGCCAATATTCCTCCAGTTCCGCCCCTGGTTGTCTTCTGTGGTTCTCAGAAACCCTTTTAACAGAGAGCACCATATTTTATTTAACCCACATTTAAAATCTAAACACAGGAAAAAAAAAAAAAAAAAAAAAAACTATAACTATAACTGGCCTTCTCCTCGTGTACTGCAAAAACATGTAATTATTCCCCGTGTGAGTGTCAGTGTGGGAAACCCTCTTAAGCAAGAACGGGGCGGAAAAAATAGGTTTCAGCAGTTGTGAGCTGAGGAAATCATCGCCCTAATGGGATCATCAATAGTGAGGTGTTTCTCCAGCTATTATGACCTAATTATGTGGCTCATCTCGACTCGCTGACCACAAAGAGACGTGCGCTCACTCGACTACATTTATAAAAGTTGTCATTAAGCGGGTGGTTTTTTTTTTTTTTTTTTTGCTTTTTTTTCCCCGGGAAGCGTTCATCTTCACTGGGAGCGCGCAGAGGAGGCGAGAGGCGACGTGTCTCTGTCCGCGGGGGCGCGCACCGCGAGTCAGACAGTCACACCTCTGAGTGAGTTTGAGTGAGGGATGAAAGATGAATATAATATTTATTTAGACTTTATTTAGACTTTATTCCTTATGTTTTCAGCCTATTATCCCACTTGTTGGACTGTCTCTGGTGTTTTATTTTGACCTATAACGTTTAGTGGGATTATAATATCCCTGATAGAAGATATTAGACGTGCAGAATTAGCCTGTTAATAACGTTATTTTGTCTTTTTGTCAAAATACTGATAAATAATGATATGTCAGATGAAACCACTGGATTTTATTTGGAAAATTTGGTGGTTTCCAGATTATTTTTTTTGCTGAATGGCACTAGTTTAACTTTGAGGCAGCTCAGTTTAAAGTGTAGAAATATTCCTATATAGGCTACATTAAAATAGCTGTGCATGTTTCCTTATCTGTGCAGTCGGAAGTGTTTGCCCTGACCTTTTACCCCCACCTCTTGTTGCCACCTGTCGCCGCAGGTTACTCTGCTTTTCTTTTTCTTTTTGCGGAGACACAAACTTTGCTCGAGGAAGTAAATCCGGAGATACACCCGTCAACAAGACACACCCGGACACAGAAAGAAAGAAAGGAAACAATCGTTTAATAATGAGGCCTCACTTTGAGCGTTTAGTTATAGAGCTTGTTATTACTGTAACATCCAAGAGGGAGCAATCTCAGTTGTTCTCGGCAGTTTTCACCTTTTTTTAATAGATAGATAGATAGATAGATAGATAGATAGATAGATAGATAATAGATAGATAGATAGATAGATAGATAGACATACTTTATTGATCCCAAGCTGAAAAATTGCAAATCTCTTACAAATACAGTTTATTAACAGTTTGACACAAAGTCAGCAGCACATTTAAGAGGAAAAATATTAAAAGAATTTATGAAGTGTCTTTTATGAAACTTTCTCTCATAATTTAAATACATTGGAATATTTATGAAAAACGTTTATTGTGGATTGTACCCTATTATCAACATATTAAATGTAAAATAAAACATATTTTAGCAAAGCAGTTTTCTACTTTGAAATTTTAAAATATATATATATTTCGAGCATTTGTTCCTTTCTCCCAGCAGAAAGTCTATTAAAACATACAAGAAGAAATGGACAAAATCAGGAGTTTATAAAGACAAACAGCCTCATTGGGAAGTTCATATTTACAGTGGGATTGTTTTTTTATGAAACTTTTAATACTATATCAGTGTTGAATCAGGACACGGGAGGCTGTCAGGCCTGTAGTGTTTTTGTTTAGTTTAAAAAGAAAGATTTTAATACCTGTGAAGCCAAGAATACTAATAATTTGAACGAAAATGTATTCCTTTTGTCTTCTTGGATTTCTGAGTGTGTCACTGCAGTCCAAACAGAGAATCTGCTTAATGATCAACTCTTTATTCCTCTCACTGGATGTCTCAGGAGCGAATTGGTGACATTTAAGACGTTTTTCTGCGGTCTAAATAATCCTAAATGATATTTGACAGCATCATGTCAGTGCAGCCCCCATATGAAAACGGCTTGATATGAAGCTTGAGGAAAAACACGGAGATGCTTCTGGGATATTTTCTAAACATTTATGCGTTATGAGAGTCCGGATTTAGGGCGTGTAAGACTCCTGCCCTTTGGCAAGGAGGACCTATATAATTAAGCGCTATTTTAATTCACAGTATCATCGTGATAGATACCAATCTATGAGTTTTAATCCCTTGTTAAACTCTCTTTAACCTTCTGCCACTTCTCCCTCCAGGCACTTGTCATTTTCTCTGCGCTCTGGTCACTTTACAGAGGACTGTCTCTGTTTCCAGCTAATGTTATGATTCCCTTTAGTCTCTTTGGCTGTTTTATTTATTTAAAAACAGTCGCCCCATTGTCCTGCAGCGGCACTGATGTAGTGGAATGAAGGACTTCAATCACAAACTGACGAGATAAGGATTAAACCCGAATTGTGGTCCTCCTTTCTTGTAGTAAACCTGTCGTGAAACTGAAATATATATACAATACATGCTATATATATAAAACTATAATTACTATTTTTTGCAGATCAACTGTTACCACTGTTAAATTGTATATTAAAATTCTAATTTCTCATGAGAAGTAGATAAATTCCCCTAGAAGGAAAAAAAAAGGCTCCATATGGCTGAATAAACCTGCTTTTATATGAGACAGACGACACGGTGCCATGGATCTCTGTCATTAGAGGTGTTGTGTTTGTTTTACAGGCTCGTGAGAACAACATTAACAACGTTTTAACTCAGGGGGATCCTGACACCCTGGTGTGACATCACGCGTAAAGGAGCCCTGTTTCACGCAGGGCGCAGAAAGTAAAACCAAGAGGCTTCAAGTCGTTTGTATGCGCGCAAGAGCCGCTGCAAAAAAAAAAGCACAGAAATCTACTCCAATAGTGACACATTCACATCTTCTCAGGCAGACATAGAAATGTATACAACTCAAGGACAAAATATGAGGTGAGATAGCTGTTTTTTTACCCCTTTATTTTACGTTATCTGGCGGATCGAGGCAGAGAAGCTCATCCTCTGTCGTGCTTTAATCTCATTTAACTTCCCAGATGAATTTCAAGAAGAAAAGAGCAATATGAGCTATAGTGGTTTAACTATAATAGCTCCAAAAAAATGTGATCCATCGAATTTTTTAGGCTATATTATTATTTTTTAGGCTACAACATGAAGCTACAGTGCCATTAGACTCCAAACCAGTCTAATTTTACCAAACAAAGCACCCAGAGGTGTAGCTGGGCCAGAAGAAAACCAGTCACCTGACTTGAGATTTAGTTATTTCCTTATTCCAGGTGTTTTGGCTTATTTGAGCAAAAGACAGAGGAGGAGTAAATATATTTACTTTTTTTACAGGACAAATAAATTCACGGATAATAAATGAAACATAGAGATTTATAACGGACATGTATAATCTGGGAAACAATAATAACTCGGCGATAAAGATCACACTGTGTAGGTCAAATCTGCTCTCACACCTTCAGTGATCTACTTCAATCTCCTTTCTATTTCCCACCAGAGTGTTTAGCAAAAAGTTTAGCAGCGTGTTTGAGGGTCAGTGATTCACCTTTCGCGCTAGATTTCCGGTCTGTTCCTCAGTCAGGTGTGTAGTCTACCTGTCAGAGAGAAACTGTGACTGATTGCAGCAAATCAGCCACTAAATTGTGTGTGAACGCGGCGCACAGACCGTCGGGATCGGACCCGCATGCCTTTACGCACGCAGTCTAATTAAAGCGGCGCTGTCGCTGGAGGTGAATGGAAACAAGCCGTCTCCTTGACAAGTGTTTCCGTACAGTCACTCAGTGACATGCCATCAAAACACAGGGTCAGTTATCCTGTCTTTTTTTTCTTTTTTTTTTTTTTCTAGTTTGAAGGGGGGGTGCTTTCTCTTCTCTTTTCCATAAAACCACACCTCCTCCTTCCTCTTCCCTCCTCCTCCTCCAATGGCTGCAGGGCTCCGTCCTCTGCGCAGCCCCGGTTGGATAAAACCTGGCCGAGTGTTGGCAGCGCACAACACAACACAACACCACAGCAGCCCCGGACACACACCGTGTTACACTATCAGAGTCCCGTCATTTGGATAATATCAGAATCTCTGCTCGGGGGACGTTTTTGTATTTACAGCTGCGTCGTTGAAAGGTAAGCCCTCTTCATTCCGACCCCTGAGGTTGTGTTATTATTTGATGTGTGCATATCGGGAACAATTAGCCTAATAATACGCAGTCCTGCGAGGTGGAAAACGAAACAGAGGAGACTTAAATCATCCACAGAAAAAAGACGGTGGAGACACTACTGGAGGCTTAATGTCGCTCTGATTTGGTGACACAGACATATGAGGCAGAATAATGAGAGCTGGTTATTGAGATGAGGGTGTAAAGGATGTGACCACCAGGTTCAGGTAAGCGTAAAGTTTGTGGAGGAGCAGTAATAATGATCATCAAAGAGTCGTCATTGCGCAAAAAGAGCTGGACAGTTGAGATGAATCGCAGGTTGTGTTTTCATTTTCACCGATGCAGCTTCACGTGTGGTCCCAAAAATGAACCTTTGTGCTTGGGTCCGAATTACAGGCTATATATAAGCTGTAGTTTTGATTTACTAAAATATTATGTAGGAAAATTAAACACTGTGAAATTACAAAAAGAAGTGAAAAAACATGTGAGAATCAGAAAATGCTGTAACTAATTAATAAGTCATTAATGGTGTATACCAACATAATTAATGGAGAGCCGAAATAAATAATTCATCTTTAGAATTAAAGCTCTGGACATAAACGATATATATATAATAATTTTACTTCACAAGATAAAATGAGAGACTGTGAACATGAGTTGTTGATTGTTGGAAAATAAACTACACATGCCTGTAAACACCGAGGATAAGAACTAAAGTCCTGCACGAATGCATTGTTCAAAAAGAATATTAATAATTAAAACTGTTGTTGTAAACTAAAAATTAACATTTTAAAGTCTATATAGTTACAATATACTCATCAAGAGCCATACAATTATATATTAAAGTAATGGAAATGTAAAAAAGTTACTTTGTTTCCTCTCCTGCCTTGTTTTTCATGTCCCAAAAAATAAACCTCAACGCAGTCAATCAATAGTTATTTAAAAAATGACTGAGAATTGTTTTGTTTTAATAAATACATAATTTTGCAAAAAAAAAAAAATATTTCAAGAAGTCAAATTATTTGACCTGGCATTTAGAAATTTGTACTTTTTAAATATTATTCTAACCATGTGCTTTTATGTTTCTATCAATATTGATATCATACATTGATATGGTTTAAAATGTTATACATTATTATACATAGGTTTAGGAGACAACTTGGAAACGGTCGTGTTACAATAAGAATAAAAATAAAACACACACATTCAACAAAAAGTTGAAATTAAATTGTACCTTACACTACGTTTTCAACTCCCTGTATTAGTGCCAATTCAATTAATCCACATACAAACATTCAAAATGTAACTAAACCTGGTGATAGGATTCATTTCTAGTAGCAACAGTGTAAAATGTTATTAAACCAGCATAAGTTTGGGTCAAACGGGTCTGAACTTATGTTGTCAATCATCACATCTTACAGGTATCTAACAGTGTGTGACAGGCTGCTAATTATTTGGTTAATTTTAACGTGTCCACCCAGCAGGACACGACAACACCTGACAGCTTCAATGACAGTTAAACACAGTGAAATGAATCATTTTTGTGTAATTTTCCCACAGTTTTTCCCCACAGTGTTACTTTTTCTAAAAACCAAACATCACATTATCCCACTAATTGCAGTCCTGTCTCTGAGTCTGAAGCTGCTGCCACTGTCTTATTTTACACAATGTATCACACGTCTCACTCTTATTGCTGTGAACTTCATGGAGCTCAAGTTCATCCAGCAGAGTGGAGAAGTAGCAGCAGCTGAGCAGATGGAGCCTGTAAACAAGGCTTACATATGGACAACTGCCAGCGACCACATTTACAACACATTTGGTGTCTTTTACTTAAGAGCTGAGATCCTAATTATATTTGTCTCATCTCTAAAACTCAATCTGTGTTGCTTCTCAGGTCTTTTTAATTTCATTCCTGTTCTTACAAAAAAAGTGCTTTATTTTATGTTTCACCTGATACATCATGATTGCACTCATGATATCTAATTACGGTTACTTTTGTTTGTTTTCATTTATTAGTTATTTATGGTAAAATAGTCTGTATTTTTTACCACAGTCCTGAATATTGATTTTATCTCCTCAAACTTTTTCCACTCACACAAAATCTACTTTACATTTTACTCCTCAAATCTTCTGTTCAAGACCCAAAATAAAATATGTACTTTCAGGTTATAATGATTATAAAGTGATTAATGAACCCAGTCAATCCTAATTACAAAGCGGTTAATGAAGGCAAATTTTATGTATAACCAAAGCAGCCATCTGTGTTGGCCGAAGGGGAAGAAGTTCTCTCATGTTTTACAAATACTGATTATTAAATCATAGTATTTCTACTCAAATACAGACACACAGGCCTGTTCTGTATACAGTTAAATGATCTCTTCTGCCGTCCACAGCCTGTCTCACTGATAAACAGACCTGTGCAGGTGATCTGAAGACAGTATTTTAAGCTGTAGAGACACACAGTGAGCAACTGTGAACACCAGCTGAGTATTTGTTCTGTACGAGCTCAGAGGCGTCACATATGACAAACAGCCAGTTTCATAAACCCCTGTTCTCCTGCAGCAAGCGGTCCACACTGTGCTCAGGAGCACACTCATGCCAGACGAGGCAGGACGGGGAGTAAAAACACTTTAACTGGGACAGCGTGGAGGAGGCGAGTGTCACGTTCAGCTGGTGGAGCAAGGACCAAAAACTCAGGGATATGTCCAGCCACACTGGAAGAGGTAAATACACAACACAAGCTGAAGCTTCACAGCGACTGAACAGGTTAGCTGAACACATCTGGCATTTCCTGTCATTATAAGTCTTTATTAAGACGATTCTTAACATCCACTTCTCCATCTTTATGTCCCCTCTCTGGGAAAAAAAAGAATCCCCTGATAATTTATTATTCATAAGCAGTAGTCATAAACATTTATTTCATGTTTTATAACACACATGTTTATCAATGTATTTGTCAGCATCGCTACCTCCTTAAGTTAAGGCAGAATAAATATATAATAAATAGCAATATAGTAAAATACAGTTGCAATAATATAAATATTCACAGGATAAGTTATGATTATTGACTAATAAACACTTGCACACAATCTCCTTATATGTGTTCACAACTGCTTTATAGTGTGTTATAAACCATTTATTAAATGTTTACATACTGTTTATAAATGCTAAATAGGGGTTACTTAAAGTTAAGTGTTGGCTATCAGCTTGTTCCAGCTCCACCATCATCCTTTTACACACACTAATCTAAAATTTGGCATATTTCATATCTTTGGAAACTTTCCACACTAGAATTTAAATTTAAAGTTCTGTGGGATTGAACAGAGGTCAGTCACATTCAGCCAAATATTAAATATTTAAAAAAAAACATCATTTGAGGGCCTAGATTGGGATGTAGAGAGGTGTCTTGCTGTGTCTGCTCATCGCGATTCCTGAAGGAGGGAATTGTTATTTTCCTCTGCTTGTTGTGCGGGATATTAAGGAAGTTAATTGGATGGCAGTTAAAGCTGTCAAATATAAATTTAGAACAATCCTCCCCTGGTCAGAGCCACTTCAGCTGGGTCAATCACAGAGCAGCAGGAGGCTAACGGCGTGGTCTGTCTGTCTATCTATCTATCTATCTATCTATCTATCTGAAGTGTTTTTTCGTAATGAATTCACGCTTTGTTTTTTGGGGTGTGCACGCGGTGTCTGTGCACCCTGCGCGCACATGTGTGCGTGCTCACCGCCCCCCGGGTCTGCTCCGCTTTAATATCCTGCAGGTTGATGAAGCTTGGCGGGGAGATTTTTTTCCACACTCCGCTGGCAGCGTTAATAGAGGCTCCCCTCCCTCCCCCTCCTCCCCCTCCCCTCCCTGCCTCCCCCGGCCTCGTCCGGCTGTTTGATGTGGAAATGAAAGCTGGGAAAAGGCTAAGAAAGAGAAGTGTCTCAATGGGTTAAATTAAAAGCAATGGTGTTCTTGCAGAGTCACCACCGTGCAGTCTATAGAGAAGATAGCGGAGGCTGCTGGTTCAACCGCAGTGAGTGCTTTGTCTGTTGGTGTTTACCGGGAAAAACATGTTTTCTTTATGGGGTTTAAAGCTTATTTTGCAGCTTTTCACTATTAGATCAATGTGCGTGCACTATGTTATGTTACAACTGTAATATAGTTTATATTTATGAAAATCAAATATATTGACAGTGTCGGTTTTTATTACTCACATTATTTTCAGTGTGTATGAATTCACTCAAATCAACATGGCATTAGCACGAATGAATTAACAGCTTCATATGCATTAAAATGTTATTAATAATATATAATAGAAAGTATAATAATAAGTTTGTCTAAAAAGGAATAATATTGCAGGATACTGGAGTAACTTATTATCTTGTTGCATGTTTACTGTATGTATACATAAATACAAAAAATAAATATATTCCTGAGGAAATATAGTGTTTAATGTGAATAATAATAATAATAATAATAATAATAATAATAATAATAATAAACATTATTTATATATTTCAAACAAAAAGATGCACAGCTTGTTTCACTAAAAATGAAAAAATACACAGGAAAGACACAAGACAGACAATATAAAATAGTATTTTTCATTCATCATTTACATTTTTATGGACTTTAAATTTAGTTTTCTATATATAGTGTGTTCAAATGAGGAGTGTTTTCTACTAAATTACATTTCCAAGCATAAAATAACAACAGTCACCTTCACTGAAGCCCACTGAGACTCCAGCTACAGCAATCAAAACAAATCAGAGGCTTATAAATGAGAATAGTGAGAATAAGCCAGCAGGTATTATTCATAAGGAGGTGATTATAGCCTGTAAGTAATCAAACAATCATCCATTTAAAAGTATGAGCTTTGCTGTTGGGTTAAATTAACTCTGGGCTGTAATTCAACAATCTCATTAAATATTATATCTTTTTACTATGATTTCAGTTTCATTCTGAATGTTTAAGTTTACACTCGATCAGTAAGTGTCATGTGGAAATGACAGTGTGACGAAAACAGACTTTATTACCAATTCTCCTTAAATCTCTCCTTCTCAAATACATGTAAATACATCAACTCTGAAACATGAAAGTCACAATATTCTCCATTACTCACAGCCGTCGTATTTGTTTCTTCTCGCTGCTCACGTCGTCTCCTCTGTCCTCGACTTGTTTAATGTAAAACTTCATTACACTCCTGACAACACCGGCGCCGCCACAGTTTATCAATATGTCTTGTCAGTTTCCAGGGACAACATAATATCTTTAGTTACTTTACTGTACTGTAATATTTCCTTAAGCTTCTTTCTCTTATATGCTTTTTTTTTTTGACAGCTACTTTTTCATTATGACTTGCAACATTAAATGAGTTAATGACTTAAACATGCATTTCATTTCAAATAGACAGAAACTTTTGTCAGAGAGTGTCTATGTCTGAGCAGTGCAGGAGTAGAATATGTGTGTGTGTGTGTGTGTGTGTGTGTGTGTGTGTGTGTGTGTGTGTGTGTGTGTGTGTGTGTGTGTGTGTGTGCGTAATTTATCCATTATCAATGAATTTGGAGATCATTTTGACCATGGGTGCAGCTTTTAGAGATCTACTTCTTGGTTTAGTTTCACTGCTTAAAATACTGTCTACATTGAGGTCAGTTTTGGGTTTGCAGTGTCCCCAAAAGTGTCTGTGTCCAGGTGAGTATGACTTTAAAAGTAGTGCTGTGATGTTCACACGTCTCAAGTTCCATGACATTTATGAGTGTTCATCCCCCCTCCTCCCCCAGGTCATGGGGGTCTTAACCAACTAGGTGGAATGTTTGTTAATGGACGCCCGCTTCCGGAGGTGATCCGGCAACGCATTGTGGACATGGCCCACCAGGGGGTTCGGCCCTGTGACATCTCCCGGCAGCTCCGAGTCAGCCACGGCTGCGTCAGCAAGATCCTGGGACGGTGAGCACATCAGCAAGCGCCTTACTCAACTTCCTGTTACTGTTAATCAGCCTGTTCTTTGACCTCTGAAAGCCTGTTTACTTATCCGGGGACACTTTGGTGATGTGTTTGTGAACCTTTACTGGCTTTACTCCAGTACACACAGTCATCCATAACACCTTCCTCCTTTTCAATCCTTTCGTCCAGTTACTACGAGACAGGCAGCATCAAGCCAGGCGTGATCGGTGGCTCCAAGCCCAAGGTGGCCACCCCGAAGGTTGTGGATAAAATCGCAGAGTACAAAAGGCAAAATCCCACCATGTTCGCCTGGGAGATCAGGGACAGGCTGCTGGCTGAGGGAGTGTGTGACAGCGACACGGTGCCCAGCGTGAGCTCCATTAATAGGTGACAAACTGAATTATGAATGAAATCGTGTTAGAGGTACAAATTTGCCCCCTGTTGCTCGGGTTTAGATATCTGACTGCATATACCTGAACTTTCCTTCTCTACATCTCTTAAAATTGATATGCTAATCATCAGAGTGTTTAATGTTAAATTATTATTTTTTTTGTTTCAGAATAATAAGAACGAAGGTCCAGCAGCCGTTCAATCTGCCTCTGGATGGAAAAGGCCTGAGTCCAGGACAGACCTTAAGTGAGTCTTGCACACAGGCACTATTATGGCTATATCTCCATCCATATCACCAAGCATTATCATGTGATGGTTAAGGATTAAGGTTAAAGATTAAAGAGTGTGCTTATTGTTGTTTAGGATTAAGCTCCTGACCTTGGGGGTGACAGGACCAGTGAGATGTACAGTATAATTTCCGCCCTGTGTCTCAAATCTGTCTGTCTGTCTTTGTCTCTCTTTCAGTCCCCAGTTCGGCAGTCACTCCTCCTGAGTCTCCACAGTCAGACTCTCTGGGCTCCACCTACTCCATCAGTGGTTTGTTGGGTATCCCCCAACCCAGCGCCGAGGGCAAGAGGAGCCACGATGACAGTAAGAATTAGATCAAATGACTGAGAAACCACACACTGGCATCATTTCGTTTTATTGTCGCATGGAAGGAAGCCCATCAGACGTGTAATTTTCTGTTAGTTTTGGAGCAACTTACTGAAGGAATTTCCAAATACAAGCACTTACATTCAGCCACTTTTCTCAGGTTAATGTTTAGTTTCTGACTAGATTTGTCGCATAAAGCAGAGTCGGTATCCTGCCTGAAGTCATCCACTCGCAAATATCATGTCTTGAAAAGCTGAAAAACACTTAAAATTTCTTTATTTAATAACTCATTTGACCTTTATTTTACCTGATATTAATTAAGAACAAGCTTTTCTGTCACAAGGGAGAATAAGCCAAGAGGCATCAAACAAAGTGCAATGAAGTGTTTAATAAAAACTCTGTACAGTTGAATTCAAAATACTTAATTCGTCCCTTAAAGGGCAAATTGAGGCATGCTGGTGTCCCAACACCCTGTTTCCTATATTGTCCTCTTGCATGAAAGTGAACCACATTATGTTTGGTCATAATGTCGGAATGAGAGTTAAACTATCATCTGTGTTTCTCAGGTGATCAGGAGAGTTGTCGGCACAGTGTGGACTCTCAGGGCAGTGGAGGGGTCCCGAGGAAACAGATGAGACTGGATCACTTCTCCGCAGCCACGCAACATCTGGACTGTGGGTTCGACCGTCACCACTATCCCCCGGACTCATTCGGCTCGGCCTCCAGCAGCAAGACAGAGCAGGTAAAAACAAGTCTTATGTTCAATATGCACTCAGAAAGTACTTGTAAGGAGCTTAAACAGTTCCAAAGTGAACACAGGCATTTGTAGATATACTTTCTTTTTTAGTGTTATTAGATTTCTTTCTCCACAATAAAAAAAAAATACAATTCTGCCTTTGTTTTTTTACTTTAACACATGCATATTTGCTCCTTCTCATACACACTTTACACCAATAGCTAATCCCTGTTCATCATCACCAGACTTTGTACCCGCTGTCCCTCATCAATGGCAGCCTAGACGAGGCCAAGACCAGCCTCTCAACATCCAGCTCCGCCATTGGACGCAACCTGGCAGCGCACCAGAGCTACACCATGGTGACTGGTGAGGCTCTTAATGTTAGATGTTGCCCTTTGACCCGCTTGCTGACTGTTACCACACACCGCGGTGCACCGTGTGCTGAAGCCACTCATTCTCTGTTTGTTTTTGACATTTCACTCATTCTGAGTTTGTAGTTCCACTCGTCATGTTCACCATTTGTTTTGATTTTCCCACCCGCCCGCCTTCCCCACTGGCTGTTTCCACCTCAGAGCCCCTACAGTCCCTGCCGCTCTGTCTAAAACAGGAAATGTCCCCAGAAGTGACCAGCACAAGCCCCTCCCCAAACATGGCAGCGTCCAACCTGGCATTTGTGGAGCTGCAGGCGCTGCAGAAGCCCATTTCAGTCAGCAGCAGCTGCAGCAACTCCAACCATTTCCCAAACGCCTTCAACTCATTCTCCCATCATGCACCAGTGTACGGGCAGTTCAGCAGTCAGTCTATCATCTCAGGTAATGCAGGCACCCATCTCATTCATGTTCACGCTCACATTTGTGCTCTGCAACTTCTGGTAGGGGGAAATATGTGTAAGGCTGCAACTAACAAGTTTATCATTAGTTTATTATTTATTTATTAAACTGCTGAGTATTTGATTCATAGTTTGGTTTATAAATTGTCAGAAAATTGTGAAAAACATTTCAGTAAATCCTTCCTTGAACTCAGTTTACCATCATACAAGGAAAATACTTCCGTCCAATTAGCTGAAACCAGTGCATTGCTGCCATTTCTTCTTTAAAAAAATGTTTTTTAAAATAGTTTTATATGCATGTTCTGATGATTCAGTGTATTTTCTCTACAGCAAAAACACACCTTAAACCAGAACATCTTTATAGCTGTAACAAACATAAAATAGTTAAAACTTCCATCTTGATGTTAAAGGTGTGTGCTTTGGTGTGTGTTTTTAGGGCGTGACATGGTAAGCTCCACCCTGCCAGGCTACCCACCTCACATCCCCTCCCCTGCCCAGTCAGGATACTCCTCTTCTGCCATCACAGGCATGGTAGCAGGTAAGGTTTTACCTTTGTTTTGTTTTTCTACCTACAATTTGAATGAAGAATTAGGTAGAACATAAAAAGCAAATGGCGCCAAATGAGCCCGGCAGGTAAAAAGAAAGTGGAGGGAGGGCGATGACGGCGGGAAGAGAAAGAGAGGAAGAGATGGAGGCTTGTAGATTAACAGGAAGACCGGCTGAGTCAATGAGTAGACTTGCCAGGGTGGTGAACTGTGTGTGTGTGTGTGTGTGTGTGTGTGTGTGTGTGTGTGTGTGTGTGTGTGTGTGTGTGTGTGTGTGCGGGTGCACATGGGCCCAGGGGGTACAGGGAGCAGGCTGGGGGTTCCGCCCTGCTGCCCACACCCCCCACCCAGACACCTCTGACCACACATCGCCATGGGAACCAGGGGGCCCAGGAGGGAGATGCAGGGTGGGCGGAGGGGGTGTAAAGTCTGGGTATGAGCGAAGAGGAGTAGGTCTTTGTGGTGTATGTGTGTGGGTGTGTGTATGTGCATCTTTGTGTGGGTCTCGGTGCGTGTGTGTGTGTGTGTGTGTGTCTACGTCAGGATGCCTGCATACAACCACAGAAAGAGTGTGTGAGAGTGTGTGTGTGTGTGTGATGTGCCTTTTTTTATTTGAAGTCTGCCCTCCGAAGCGCGAAATGAGAGGGTCTGATTTATTATTTTTCTGGTGGGCTCGCTGTGAGGAAGCGTTGCTACACAATTACTGAGTGAAAGGGGGGGTTAGGACAGGAGGAGGAGGTGGGGAGCTCAGGGATTCATTCCAGCCAACATAATTACCAATTAGATATTGGAATGTTAAAAAAAGAGAAAAGAAAGAAAGAGGAGTGCCAGAGAGGCTAAAGCAGGAAGTGTAGGACGGAGAGGGAAGCAGGAGGAGGAGGAGGAGGGCATTTCAGAGGGCAGAGGCTGAACGATGCAAGGGGCCGAGCGCTGAGGAGAAGAGGGCGTAGAGGCTAGCTGCATGCACGCACCACTGGGCCAAGGGATTTTACCCTCAGCCATCCACCTGCACCACAGATTAATGGTTTACAGGCTGCACTAACTGTTGGTGAATTATGAGCTAAGGCTGTGCAGATGCTGGCACAAACCCACACACACAAACAACCCGGCTCTATGGAGCTCTTGGCAACGTCTCAGTTTTTGCCTTTTCATAATGAATGTTTCCTTTGTTGTATCGATGTGTTTTTATGTGGATGTGAGTGTCTGATGAAGTTTTTCTTGTAGCAGGTGCAGACTACTCGGGTCAGACCTACAGCCATTCGCCCTACACCTCCTACAGTGAAGCCTGGAGGTTCACCAACTCCAGCATACTGGGTGAGTAAGGACACACGGACAGAGGTACTAGATGTACTCATGTTTCTGCACTCAGCAAATTACCTCTGAATATATTTAGATTTGAGTTAATAATTGTAACATCCCCCCCATATTTCACATTTGTTTGGTCCAAGATAAAACAATACTAAAAGGCAAACAAAGCAGGGAGATGATAACTAAATTTACAATCAAATTTAAATTCCTTTTACAGATTTTTAAAGGAAATATGAAGACATCTCTGTTCATACATAACTACTTTTAAATGTACATTTATTCATGTGGCAGGCACTTTTGTCCAAAGCAACATACTAATGAGTTACAATCCAAGTCACAACAGATCAAGGAGAAGCCCTCAGGTGTCAGTTCAACGTCACATGTACACGTGTGTCTTGTAGTCTGAGATAATAATTGTAAGATCACCACTTTATGTAGATATAGAGATACAATTAAAATCTGGGGTTCAAAATTATACAAACAAAAATGCAAGAAACGTAAAATAAAAACTTTAAAGAGAATGTATACAACCATGTTTTTGCTCCGGTAATGTCGACTAAAACATTGGCGTGTATCAGCCTAGAAGGTCTTTGTCAGAAGTACAGAGGCATTAGGGGATATCACCTCCACTGCATCACCAGTCAACCTGGTTAGAGAAGGAAAGTCCTGCATTTCCTTTATCTTTGTATTCCTTAAAAGTCATGGGGGGGGGGTTAAGACCTGATCCAGTGGCAGGACAAACAGTCCAAGCTGCTCAGACTTTCAGCTCAACCATCTGCTGTAAAACCTTGGATAAGATGGATAAAGAAAAGTCTGATCCACCACCTTGCACTTCTAAAGGCCCCTCCATCTGTGTCTCCCCCCGCAGGCTCACCCTATTACTACAGCTCGGCCTCCCGCACCGCTCCACCGTCTGCAGCCTACGACCACCTCTAGTCCCTGCTGCATGAGAACTTCACATCAGCTGACACATCTGATCACGGACCAAGGCACAAAAGTCAAAAACCTGGATGTGAACTTGAGACTCTGCTGATGAACCAGCAACACATTTGTTTATACATCCTACCGCACCCACTCATATGTTATTTATTTTGTCATTACTGATACCATCGCCCAGGGTAACTCATGCACATTAACACCTTGCTCCTCCCAGAGGCCTGTTTCCAGAGGCCCCGGCCGGACATCTCACATCGAGGTGCATATCTTCAGTATCCGAAGCTCTTCAACGCTGTTTTTGGCCAAAGACTTTCTTTCTCGCACATCTGCAACTTGACCGCACTGACCCAGTGACTTACAGATATGCAACTCCTTTATACTGAACTATGCCTGCTTTTGTTTACAAAAAATGCTTTTTTGTCCTGTCATGTCACAAATTAATTCCTTTTTCCTGAACCCTGTGTCTGCTTGCAAATTCATCCCGTGACTTTGTTTTCACTGTAAATTCTGATTTTAAGAGCTTTTTCTGTAGTGAAAATAGACTAAAAAGGTGACACATTCAATCACAATTACAACAAAATGCCCACATATGCCCCTCGAAGACAATTAATGTATTTGTCTAGCAATATGTACATATTGTAAATGATGGATTACTTATGGGGAAGTGATGCAATTTTACTCAGAGAATGACTGATGAGGGAGGGGGATGACGGTGATTTGGCTACTAAAACCAACAAGGCTTGAAATACATTTGTTTTGCGTCAAATAAATTTAGTTTGTTGTCATGCTGATGTTCTGATGTTTGGTAAGAACTGTGACTATTTTTTCTTATACTGTTATTAATATTATTGCAGATGTAAATAATGAATTTCTAAAGAATTATTTTAATTAAAGCATGACAAATTTACCCTGTTGTTACTGTTGTCTTTTTAAAAGATGCTTCTGGTTTTATGTTGAACAAATTATGTGTTTTCTGATTTATTCTTTGTAAAGCTCACAGAAGTAATATTTTGATAAGTTAATGCGTATTTAAAGTATTATAGTTGTGTTATTCAAGAATAACCATTTGATTTTAAATATCTACTTATATTATTATCATTATTATTATTATTATTTATAGTAATAGTTGAGTACTTACACGCTAAAACTCACCTGCATATCCTGAAATGCTGCATATATTCTTTTTTTTTGTAACTCTCAGCATTTTAAAAGGACAAAAGCAATGATCCTGCAAACACGCGCATCTGTTTAATTTCTTTTTTTATTTTCTGCATCATGTAGTTTTATTTGCAATTATTTCGTCCCTCTTTGCGGCCTCATAATTGCGGCGCGTTAACGATGCCACGGTTCGGCGGTGCCGCGGCCCACCTGGTGCCGCCGCGTGGGATGGCGCGAGGATGATGGAGGAGAGGGAGGCCGCGCGCGCGCTCCACGGGAAACTGGGGAGTTGAGGCGCGCGCTCAGACACGTTGCACGTAATTTGCAGCTGCCGCGGTGTTACCTGCGTGCGCTGCGGGCGCGAGGCAGTGCCAGTTTAGACTTTTATTGGTTTTAAAGTTAGAAAACGAACAAATTACATGAAAATAACGTTGACAAAAAGCCCAAAGCGGGTCATTATCTCCACCTAAATCATATAAAACAGTATTCACACGGTAAAAGATACACATATTAAACATTTTACTATATATTAGTTTACCAGTACGTACGTGGTTTCTTAATATGAATATAGGCTAATAGTTCAATATATATAGGCCATATATAAGTCCATTGTGTGACTGTTCTGGAGCTTTTACCCATAGCACACTTGAAATTGTATAAATGTAATGTATTAATAATAAATGTATATAGATTAACAGTAAATTATATAATATCTATTTATAATATGGTAAATTTAAGTAAAAATATACCAATATTTAAAAAAAAAAAAAAAGTTTTACACCAGTAATTAAATTTTTGTTTATTTAGTTTTATTTATTTACTTTTACTTTTGTTCTGGTTAACTTGGGCCTTCTTATTTACTCCCTGGGTTTACATTTTTGACTAGCTAAAAACACACAGTAGCCTATATATGTTTTTTTTTGTTCTTTTTCTTTAATTAAGCTATATCTACATCTACTTCAGGATGTCTAGAGAGACACAAACGTGCGCTTGAACCTGCTTTGGTTTCAGAGCTGAGGTTTTATCATCTTTTGTGGAGGCGGCTGTTTAGTCTCATTAGACCACTGCAACCTCTGCTGTAATTTCCAGTTCACAAACTTCTGTGTGGTTCGTGGCCTAATTCACCATTAAAGAAACCCTCAAACCTAATTACATAACTCTTGAATCAGACTGTATGAAGGCTTTTGTCTGACTTCTGAGACAATCACTTAAAGTCCTCAATATCAGTTCAGTCAGAGCGCTATCTGTCTGCTGATGAAGATCAGCCCTGACGTCTTTCTGTTTACAGTATGCACTTCTCTTTCTCTCTGCCTCTCTGAGCCTTCACTCTCCACACATTTCTCCATTTTCCTGACTCACCTCTTTACACCCCTCTCTTTGTATCCCTCTCCTGCAGCCGCACTACTGTACACGCCGCGTACTGCCCTGTAAACTTTAAACAATAGCTGCACTTCATCCCATTGTTGTCCAAGTGGCCTGGCCCACTCCAGACAGCCCATCAACTTACTGGACCCTCATTCTTTCCAGTCCATTGCTCAGGCATGCAGAAACACAAATCCATATACAACACTTATACATACGGAGGAGCTTTCAAGTCAACATGCTTCACAGGGACTAGGCAAACCTCTTCACTCAACCCAACTTCAAATTCCTCAGCCAGCTGATGGCCGGCCAGAGAAATAACAGCAGCAAACGTTAAACATTAACAGTCTCACTGCCAAAAACATTACGCTGCAACACACAAGCCACAGCAGAAATAACTCCTCTCTGTCTCTCTCTGGGCCTATTAGTGAGGAGGTTTCGGGCCACAGTGCTTCTGGTCTGGTAATGAGCCCGGCAGCACAATACAGGCACCGGGCCGGAACAGCTGAGGGCAGACAAAGCTGGCAGGACGGGGCGACTGGGACTTACTACATTTAACACAGAGCCATACTAACACTGTGTCCGTGTGTGTGGGTTGGAGAGACAGAGAAAGAATGTGTGTCTATGTGTGTGTTTATGTGATATAACAGTGTGTGTGTGTGTGTGTGTGTGTGTGTGTGTGTGTGTGTGTGTGTGTGTGTGTGTGTGTGTGTGTGTGGAGGAAAAGGCATGTGTCCCATTACCATTATGGGGACAAACTCAAAGACAGAATGGGGGGCCCCTGGAGAAATTGCTGCCAAAAAGGCAGCAGAGGAGTGTGTGGCAATCAGTGGGATGACGGGTCGGGGTTGTCCTGCGCCAGTCATCTGGAAAGTTCTCCACTTATCTCTGAGCCTGAGACACTGGCCAACCAATTCAGCCTAGCAAATAAGTATTATGTAGGCTGACAGAATTTGCCCGTCCAAATGAGCTGCAGAACACGCTGTTGTTTTAAACTGTGAATGGCGGCGCTGCTGTGTGGGCCCCGCCCGGCTCAGTTCTTTTTGTGGCCCTCGAGAAAACCCAGATTGTGCGAGTGAACCCATCACCTTGTTTATTAATTGTTTTGGACAGTGATTATTCTGAACCCTTTTTTGTTTTTTTTACACTGAACATTGTCCTTTTCTTTGCAGGCCTTTGACAGTGTGAGATTCTTAGTCTGCTGTGTCAATGCAATGTTTTCACCAATTTCTCATTCTTCTTTGGCTTCATATATTTGTGCTTTAGTCAAAGTAGGCTTGAGACCCCACAAATCTTTCTGGTGTTGGAATTGTCGGAGCTGCATCCCATCATCTTTGTGAACTTTCTGAAACTGCTAGTACAACAATCACATTGGCCAGGTGTGCAGACATGGAAAAGTGGGCTAAATTTCTTCACAGAACTACCTCCATCCACATGAAAAGCCATGAACACAGAGTACAGCTGAAGTCATTAGTTCTGCAGGCATTTGGTCATAAAACAAGCAACAACATCACCAAAGTTGCTACAATTCATCCTCAAGGGGACGTTAATATCTCCACCAACTGTGATGGCAATCCAAAATCATCTCAATGGTACAACTCTCCAGCTTTCAACCGATATCTTGTGACCTTCCTCAGCGGACAATGTTGGAAAGCCACCAGATAAGGTTGTTAACTTTTGTAACAACCTCAAAAAAGTGTCAACCTCATGGTGGTGTTAGAGCTAAAGTCAGCGGGATTCATCCTCTGGGAAGCACGAATGACCAAACCAAATACTGTCCAGTAGAGTCTGCAAATGTTGAAATATTTTACTTGGTAGCAGAAACATTTGACCTGTTAGTGGTGCTAAATTAAATGTCATAGGATCAAGAATTTCATTAGGATTTATCTCCTGGGCACAATAAATGTCTGTACAGAATTTCATGGCAACCCATCAGATAGCTGTTAAAGTGTTTCAGTCCGGCAGAGCCAACCGACAGACCGATGGATTGCTATCTAAATGTTGGTACAAAAGACATTTTGGGCAGAAAATGGCCTCTAGAACACCTGAGTGGACTTCAAATGACAACAGCTTTCTCGAATTTCAAGAAGCTATCTAATCTCCTCCACCTTTAAACCATAATGCACCTGGAACAAATGTGCCAGTCAAACAGAGCAAAGTGGTCAAACAGAGGGTGTTCCTGTGTAGGAACAGACGGAGGGAGGAAACACAGGTGCTCTGTGTCCGACCAGCCTATTAAACAACACACAGAGCCTGAAGGCAGGAAGCCACTATTGACTGGAAGACATCAAGAAAAACGCACCTTTCAAAGCACACACACACACACACACACCGAGGTGGATAAAATCTGCCAGGTATCAGGTACTGCCCTGAGGGAGAGGGTTGACCTGTGGAGGCCCGAGGAGTCAAACACACAGCTGACAAATAGCTCATTCAACATTGCATACACCTCTCGATAATGCTGTTTTATCCTCGCGTCCTTGCACCGTAGATTAACCATTATCAATCAGAGAAAGAACAAATGCAGATATTAACAGATTTGGACTGAACTATAGCTTAAACCGCACGAGTTAAAAGATGAACTGAGATAAGATGGAGGAGATTAGTCCACAAACATTCTTGCTCCCCTCTATACGTCGCGTTGAGCCACGGAGTGCCGACCTTAAGATCATGTTTGCCCTGCATCTTAAAAGCCATCGAGTGTGTGCCCGAGGAGTGTTGTCAGAGGAAGGAGTGTGTGTGTGTGTGTGGAAGAGGAGAGGGCGAAAGGAGGTCATGCGTTGCAATGCCCTTGAGCAAGGCACTTGCTTTAACTCTCTCAATGAGAGGCTCCTTGGCTTCAAAAAGCCAGCCTTTGTAAAAGAATGAGTATGAAGGGCTCCGGTGAAATCTAAAGTGATTCATGTTTGGACTGGGTCTGATTGGCAAATAAAATGAAAATGTCTGGCCATGAGAAAAGCAACACTAATGAGTGCAGTCTGGGAGAAATAAAGGCAGGGAAGATGTTTTTCTTCAGTGCCTCCCATTTCTTTCAAATCAAGTTACAGCAATAAAAGAATATCACTTCCTACTGAAATGTACACTCATACAGAAGCTGAATATATGACTGGGTTTTGTGCAGTCAGCACTGGAAAGTACAAGAGATTATGTCTGGTGGAAGTGGAAGCTGGATAAGAGAGGGATTTTACTTAATGTCTCAGAGAAAGAGGCAAATGGAGTCTGAGTGGAAAAACAAAAACCCCTGAAAGGACCACGGAGAGACTTCGAGGGTCCTGGATGGAAAAAGCCAAAATCACAACAGCAGCAGTCAAGAGCAAAGGATGGAGACAGAGCACAGGAGGGGGGAGGACACCAAGAGACAGACAAAAAAAATGTGTTTTTTTCCAATAGCCCGAGTGGGAAAAATCAACTGTTAGTGTGGATGAGAGATAAAAAGTAACAAGTAGAGCGTGCGAGGCGTCAGCAGCAGATGGAGAATGCGCGTCAGGAGGAGCATTGAGGGCAGAAAAAAAATCCCAGAGATGAATGTGAGTGTTTACAGTACAGTTTATGTTTGCTGGCAGTGTTTGCAGGTGTTTTTGGCTTATATTTACTGAGCATTTCAGAGCCATTGTGGATGTTGAGCAATGTTCAAAGCAACATTGTGTGTGTGTGAGGGGGGAGGAGGAAAGCGAGGAGAAAAAAGGGGTAGAAGTGACCTTACGTGTTGGGGTCTTTTTTGGAGTCCGTGCTGGACAAGCCCCTAATGATCACAACTTGAGCTCTTGCCTTTTTAATTACCCACCCAGGCCTGACTGAGTCGCACAAAGCTCGAGAATGGAGTGGCGCAGATGGAACAAAAACAGGCCAACTCCTTGGGAAGGATGCCCTCTGAACCCAGCAGCTAATGCAGCCCCTGCTGCTCCAGCCGGTCATTATTGTTGTTGGAGAGGAGGAGAGAGATGGCACTCCAAAACAAGGCCACCGCCACCGCTGAAGTCATGGTCCACAGGCCATGTGAGAAGAGCTTTTGGTGGAGAGCTCCTCTGTGACGCCAGCGCACAAGCAGCACCTTTAGCACAGATTAAACATTTCAATTTGATCCGAAAAACAAGAGGCCCGCTAATGGCTGCTCCTCGCTGTAATATTTCGTCACAGCCCCGAGAGCATTTAGGTTAGTCTAGATGGCGTCGCCTTTCAGCGTGCCGGGCTCCCACCCTCCTCAAGGTGCTGTGATGGCCCCCGGGGGCCCCTCTGTCACTCATGTGGCCCATCAGTCACCCTCATCTGCAGAATCTGACTTTATCTTAATGAGTTGTTGTTACTCCTGCAAATGAATGGAGACTGCTTCCATTCACAAGACAAGCTGAGCATTATCACGTTAATTAAGCATCACAGATGATCTGTCGGAGGCTCCTGAGTTTCACCTGATGTCCGTTCAGGAGGGAAAACTCTTAAAGAAATCCACAAATAATGAAAATACTCCAGCGCGCTGATCCAAAACCGACACCCAAACAGGACGGTGTGTCCCTGTCTGTATTGTCTGTGCTCTTCATTGCGTTTCCTATTGTCACATCACATTCCTGTGTGAGGAATGTGTGTGTGTGCGTGTGTGTGTTTGGGGTGGTGGTGGTGGTGGGGGGGGGTTTGATTCCAGACATCCTGCTCTTATTGTTGAACGCCCCAGGTTGACTGCTGCTCAACATGTCAGGCTGAAAGAGAACAAAATGGGCCCCGTGCCACTGAGACACTGACACACACACACACACACACACACGTCTGCTCCACCTTGTATTTTTTGTAGTTGAGGTGACACGTAGACGCCATTTTTAAATATGCACTATTTGAAAAAGGGGTTTGTTAAGTAATCTAATTATTTGAAAGAATAATAATAAGACAACTGGATCTTCAGATCATTTAACTCTGAGTTAATCTATCAGTTTGATCAGTCTTAAACACTCAGTGGGGCCTTTAACTAATTTTCCCAAAGCCCTCTTCCTCCTTAAGCTCAGTTATGTAGTAAATGCTGAGAAATGTATACATTTATATATATAAAAAAAGATATATTTTGAGATTAGACGGTCAGTTCTGTAATGTTTTTACTGTATTGTGATGTTAATAATTAAGCAGTTTTTGTGAAAAATGTGACAAAAAACAAAAACACTTCACTAAAAAGTTGAAAATGTCACAAAGGGAGCATTTTCTAAAAAAAAATGTTATGTTCTTTCTCTGTCTTTGTTAAAAGATTAAGCTTCTGCACAGCATCCTTCTTCACAATGTAAATGTTTCTTTTAAAGATGATTTTTTTGGGGCGATTTTTAGCCTTTGCTGGATGATGAGACGCTCCACCAGGAGAGCCACCGGGGAGCCCCTTTGCTTCATCTTTTAGTGTTGCAACTCACTTTGTTGTAGCAGGAGAAAACATTTTCATCTGATATTGTAGCTCACAAAATGTTTGAACTACTAGTATCTGTTGTACCTAAAGACAACAACCTCAAACCAAACGCGTTAACATCCATAAATAGTCTCACCTATACTGCACAATAACAATTTTATTTTTTTCCCTAAAGTGAGAAACAGTACATAACATTTTGGAAATGAACCCTTCATTTGGACAGAAAACATGTAACGGTGACACAAAGGTCATGAATACATTGTATACACAATACTAAAAACAATAAAAGTGCAATTGGGATTCTTTAAAAAAACAAGTTTAAAACTAACTGACATCACATCCTGCCCGCCTCCATTCCCTGTAAGATGTGCTGTACTACAGCATCCTCTAGTGGTTGATGTTTTAAAGGCACATTTTTTGCCTAAAGGAAAACAACAAATCAAAGCAAATGTGTACTATTTTGGGTACTACTGTAGACCAAAGTTAACACAAAAAAAACTAAATAAATTAGGTCCAGACACTTTGAGTCAGGCCCCCCCTTTATTCTTGGAGAGACTGAGGGTTAGGGGTTTCCTGAGGTTCTTTTTATTTTTCAAAAAGTGCAAAAAGATAAAAAATGCAAAAAAACAGAACAATAACTGGCTGAGGCAGATTTCAGATATGACTTTGGTGTTAGTTTCTCTGCTCAGGGCTTCACAAACTAAGAACCTGAAGCCCCGTCAGCTCACAGCGGGAGTTAACTGGTCGTGTTATCCCCTTTCAGGCCTCTTTATTCCATCGGGGAATGATGGTCCTGCGATAAGTCCGTCTTTCTGAGATGTTGCGTCTGACTTTGACCACCGTCGGAGGAGGAAGCTCAAGCTCCAGAGACGGGCTGGAGTAGGACTTTTTCAGCCCGTCTTCCTCATCCTGTTCCTCCCCCACAGAGTCAGCAGACATGGCTTTATCAAACAAGTTGAGGTCTGCGACGCTCAACACGCCGTCGCTCGTCTTCTTCACGCTGTTCCAGGCCTCCAGGCCCTGAATGTAGATCTCATAGCGGCACATCTGCAGGGTTTGACCAAGAGACACAGGGTCACTTAAGGGTCTTTTTACACTCGTGTACACACACTTTCACTCACAACACTTTGATTACCTCGTGCTGCAGATACTCTGCTCTGACGCGATGCTCCTCCAGCTCCTTGGCTTTGGCTTTTTTGCCTTCTGGCAGGTTTTGCTGCAGGTACGACAGGTCTGCCTTGAAGGACTCGAGCATTCCTGCATGAGACTGCAGCTGACGTTCCTGCACAGGACAAAGGAACAGATTTCATGTAAATCCACTTAATGCAAATCCCGCTGGGGGGAAAAAAGCAGAAACAGAACAGAAAAAAACCCAGAGAGAACTTACTCCAGCTGCAGAGGTGCATGAGGGAGGTTTACAGTGTATTAGTTGCAATAAAATTGCATTTTCAAAAATTTTCTTCCTTAATTTCATCAGTTATATAGGAAAGGATCATCCAAACATGGAGTGACAGAAGGTTTAATAACATATTCTTTCTTCTTCAAATGAAAAGTGAAATTAATTAAATGCACCTATGCTTAACTCAGTACACTCAGGTCACTGCTGCTACAGCCTTATTTGGTCTTATATGAACGGACCAAAGCCGGGACAAACCAAACACGGGCTCTAAATCAGGTTTCACAGCTTCAGTTTGTCCTTCGCACTTGACTGAGTCAGGGGTTGCAATCTGCAATGTCACCGCTAGATGCTACTAAATCCTACACACTGGTCCTTTCATGGAAACAGCTGCTGTGTATATTATGGTAATTGCTTGTAATGGTAAAGACTTTGCAGTTTAAGTTGGATCTAGTAATTGGTATTTTGTTTCTAGTTAAAACATGCGATAGATTCAAGGTCACAACACAGGCTGAGTGAGAGTTTTGTATCACAAACAACAAGCATTGTGGGAGAAGTTCGTATAAAGTGGTAGTTTGTCATACATTGAATTGTGCTATTTTGAGCTCACTAACATGCATTTTAACACTGAGTTGAAACATTTAAAAAGACATTAATTCAAAATGACTTGTAACTGTAAGAAAATGTAGGAAAGGAATGTCACAGACAGAGAGAAGTAGGAGTGTGTACCAGAGTCTGAACGGACTGCGAGGCGGGTAGGATCGGCCTGAAGAACCTTCTCTGAGAACCGACGGCAGCGGGGAACGGAGGCGAGGAGTGAAGCGCTGAAACCAGGTTGATGCGGCTGATCCATGAATTCATCTCCACTTTGGATCTGAGAGGAAACCAAACAGAGCTCTGAAAGTGACTGCTGGACTCTTTGGCACACACACACACACACACACACACACACACACACACACACACACACACACACACACACACACACACACACACACACACACACACACACTCCAAGATGCTGTCACTTACGAGACCTGGAAGAGGAAAACCCTCCAGTCAGCCGTCTGCAAACGGAAGACATGCGGCTTCTTGGTGTAGTCGGCTGCCTGCTCGGCCAGAGAGTGGTGCACGCTCACCACCTCCTCATTAGTCAGCTGATCCCTCCTATAATCATCCTGTCAAACACACAACGAGGGGAAAGTACAGAAAAGTATTTAAAATCATGAAAGACATTAATTCTATTTAAATATGTACTGTAGGGAAATTCACAAGTAATGACGCTGAGTACTCTTACCTTCTGTAAGTAAAGGACCATTCCCCTCAGCACTCCGTAGAAGGTCTTCCAGCCTCTCTTCCCCCAAGGAGCTGCCACACAGAAACATTCATTCATTCATTCAGCTGCCTGCTGCATTATCAACATGTCCAAGAAGTATCTCGAATACAGTTGTAAGTCTTATACAATCTCATTGTTTCTTAACTGATAAAAGCTTTAACCCATTCATTAGTTCTTATGAGAATGAGCTCAGTTTAATATGTTACAAAAAAACACTTTAAAAGATAATGTGGTGCCCAGATTCAGTGTAGGAGGTCAGAGTTTTGTCTTGGAGTTATAAAAGGCCAGTGCTTGCCTTTAAGGTGAAACGTTTTAAGATGATACATTCTTGATATTTTCTACTGGCAGCTGCCCTTATTTTTACAGCACTGTTGACACACAAATCTTCCATTTCAGACACCAAAGCAAACCCAAACACCAGAAATTTTCAGTCACCCAATATTACGTTCCTCTACATAAAATGCTCAACACCCCACATCAAACCCTATCTGACACAGGATCTAATGGTGGTGTTTAAATTTCAAATAAACTAAATCACTGATTGTGCCTTTAAATCCTCACTCTTCTCAAAAGCCTAAATAACCTAGATGTAGGTGACACTCAGTTCTTCGGTTTATGTTTGTGTGTCGCTCACTGCGTTTGCCGTCAATGTCAGCGTGGAGCTTCCTCTGGAGGAATCCTTCTTTGACCACGGAGGCTTTTTCATCATGAGGAACGTCCTGGAAGGGGTTGGCTTTTGAACGCAGCGGCGCATTATCTCCTGCATCTTCGTCCAGCAACACGGAGCTCGTCAACTCCTCGTCATCACTGAAACACGCAGAGACACTTAGGTGTGAGATTACATATGTGAAGAATACGATAATGTTTAATGACGGTGTTTATACTATATATATATATAGAGTCCACTTACACGGCCCACTCCAGCGGTTCACTTTTTATGGAATTATAAAGACTCTGAAATTAAGATGGAGAGGAAAAGGTTTAACAATTTTCAACAACAGCATTTCTTTCTGAAAACAAATCAGTGACAGTATTACCTTCAAGAGGTCCTTGCTGAAGTTTTCTCCTTCATTCATGCAGTCCAGGTTGGCCACAAACTGAGAGGAGGACATGGATTTTCCTACATTCTGTTGATATACACAAAAATGTCTTTATTTGATGATTATCTGGTGACAAGGTGCCATGTCGAAACAAAATTTAAGATGTCATTATTTTTTCTACATTCATAAAATGTTTCCCACCTGTCCGTGCAAGTCAGTGTTTAGAAGCATCAGAGCACATGTAAGAGCCAACACAGCCCCTGAGGATACAAAAAAAGAGGGAAAATTAAACATGCATCTGTCAGGTGAGTGCTCGCGGCCATATCATTGAGCAGAAAACACAAAGACATGACTGAGGCTCACCTGAAGAGGAGTAGGAGTCGGGGTTGCACTGATGAAAGCGGCAGGCGAAATGCTGCAGCACACGCTCTCTCTCCTGGGTCTCCCCTATCAGTATCACCACTTTCAGGAAAGATCTGAGAGACAGAAACCGAAAGGAAAATACAAAAAATTACATGATTTTTTTTTAGCGTTTTGTGAGAGATATCAGTGGAAGCAGTCCAAGTTCCGCCTATTTAATTCTCACCTGATGGCATGATCAAGTGTTTGCCCGGTGAAGTCAAAAAACTTGAGGTATTCCTCCCCGACAGCATGACTAAAGTCATTACTAAACAGAGACACAATACATTCAGAGTCAGTGTAATCAGCAACACAAGTATAACAATAACTTTAACTTAGGACAATATTTTGGGGATGATTACTGGTGCTTCAATGCAGTATTTGATCTAAACTGGAAGCAAAGGAGGATGATGTGGTCTTCAGAAAAAAATAAATAATAATGTGACTTTAATATGATGGCCAAGCATATAGAGGAACTCATTGCTCATTTCACTCAGACTGAAAGTGTCAAAAAAGCCCAGGAAATTGTAGCAACTTGAACCAACTGTAATGTGACCAGGAAAAGGTTTTATTTGAGCTAAATCTCTATATTATGGAAAAATTCCCAATTATTCCTTAAAAATTTCTTCCAGTAATTTGGTATTGCACTTCTATACAGTTGGCGGATTTGTAACAGACAGATTAGGAAAAAAACAATCAGTCAGCAGAAGTTGAGGTATCCTGGGTATTCCCAGGTTGGGTCAAACTCTGAATCCTACACTCTCCCATAAAGCAACTCAACTCTATCTTTCGTTAAGCTCTCCATGTCTGGTAAATGCCAACGTCTTTTAACCTCAACAGACTTTCTGTTATTAATTGGTTGCCAAGATACCCCTGATGACATCAGCAAGATTATTTTCTCAAACTTTCGAAAGCTCCTTTGAAGCCACAGAAGACATTTACACAACCGTTTACACCAGCTGAGCAGCTCTCCCTATGAAACTCTTCATACTGTCTTTTTATAATAAGTAATGTACGTCACTACCCTTCAAGGCCCATCAATTATAGGGTAAAAGTCACATTAAAAAACCATGTATAGCTGTGGTGTTAAATCAGCAGCTGCAGCAGACAAGAAGCTGCTGGTGTGGATGCAGCTGCAGGAGAGCAGACCTCCATATCCGGAGAGGTGACACTGCACTCAGCTAACAGGGGTTGAGAGGGGTGCAGTCTCACCCGGGCCGGCCCTAGCAAATACTGACCCAAATCAAACACACACAAGATGTTGAGTGACCCAACAGGAGCATGCTGGGTCAGGCAAAATGTTAAAATGCCCATGGTGGATTTGGATTTGCTACATTGCTTATGAACTTCCCTCCTTTCTGCCACAGACAGTTGTGCCTGCTGAGCCTCTTTCAGCTCAAAATGTTTGAAAACTTTGAGGAGCACAGTGGGACAGAGAGTTGGACTGGTTATAAGTGAACTGAGCACGGTTAGGCAAAGAAGTTGAACCATGAGTAGACTGTTGACGATTGCGCAGTGCACAAGGCTCAAAGACGACAAGTGCGTACAACCACAGAGATGGACATCAACAAACAGTGTTGCCTAGCAACATAGCTGAGTGTAAAAACTGGGCTTGTGTGCAAAAACTCTACTCTACTTTAATATGTTGGTTTCTACCTGTAGCTGTGGAGTTCATATTGTCTATACTTCTCTGTGTTGGCGGCTTTGGTGCCGTTTTATTTTGCTGTTAAAGAGGCAGTTATTTAATTATTCCCTAGTTAACTCTAGAGAGGATGTTCAGCCTTTGTATATTTATAATTCATAATCAGTGGCACGCACAGGCTGCAAAATCCATCTGTAGAAACAGAATTTATTGTTGGTTTGGACATCAGGGGTTGGTAGCTGATGTTTTTCCACTAGTGTTGTTGGATTGACATTTAATGAAATTGTAATGTGGGTTTTTATTTAACAGCAGCATCACCAGATAAGCCCCGCCCCCCTCATAATTTCCAAAAATGTAACACAGTAAGTATTTAAGTAATTTTTCCATCTCTGTCCATAACCACCTCTATAACTGCAAGTTAGTCGGAGTGATGCCACATTGAAAACCCGCAGCTTCACTGACCAGTTTATCTGCACTGCTCAAAAACCCCATCAGCCTTCAGTTATAAAAAAGAGAAGATAAAATTATATACATATAACATGTGCTTACTCTTTGTCCAAGTGCTTCACCACGTCCATACGCTGGATCCCATCCAACTTGTACAGCCGTTCAGCGAGGCGGCAGGCCATCTCTCTGTCTACCTCAACTCCATTCATAAGAGGCACTGCTGTCTCGGGGGGTTTAGGTTGCTCTCCATTGGCTCCAACAGTTTGTACAGATCCATCCTCATTACCTTCGACTTCTTCAGCCTCATGTGACGTCTCAGCCTGTTCGTCCACCTGATTGAACTCGGCCTCTGCTGTCTCCTGCGTGACCACAGTCTCAGCCGACAGCTGCTCTGTTATTTCGGACTCATCCGTCTTCTCTGGTCGCACGAGCTGCTCACAGAGCGCCGGCTGAGACAAGTCAGCCGTTGGCTCATTCTGCTTTGAGGGCTCCGTCTGTTCTTGCTGCTCTGCCAGTCCGGGGTCTTCAGCTTCAACATAAACTGTCTGCTGTGACGGGGTAGGTTCCTCTGGCAGGTCGGCATTTTCAGGTTGGGTCGACTCTTCTGTCAGTTCCATCTGCGGTGACTGTTCCAGATGTTGCGACTGTCCTAACTGGTCTTCAAAGTGTCGGTCTTCTGCTCGATGTGACACCTCTGCTTGGATTTGTGCTGGCTCTTCAGTCATTTCAAGCTGCTCGGACTCAGAGTGTTCAGGTTGTGGTGACAGCTCCCGCGAAGTAGTTTGGTCACAAACTTGATGCTGTGAGCAACTTACCTCCTCCAGTTTTTCAGTCAGCTCTAGTATCTCTTGTGAGTTATCTATCCTCTCTGCATTATCTGCCACCTGTATCGATGTTTCTTCGTTGTCGTGCACAGCCTCTGACTGTTCAGCGTCCACGTTCTGATCTACATCTTTGTACATTTCTGGCTCTTCAGTTTGTCCTGTGGGATCTTCATGTAACCGTTCAAGTAGCTCTATGTCCTCTTCACTCCCTGAGTGTTGTCTTTCCTCCAAAAGCTCTGACTGCTGCAGGTGAATTAGCTTATCTGGGTTTACACTTGGTTCAGTATCGTCAGTTTGTAGTGGCTCGGCAGGAACCTCCCTGCAAAGTGTGAATCAAATATGCAATGTCACTGTTAAAAATGCTACATAATACTGTGACATGGTTTACATAATGAAATAATTTACAAATAATAAACACTTCCTGTCCCCCTTTCTCAAGTTCATGATACTCACACATCACTCGGATAATTGACAGTTTTTGCCTCTTCACTTTCTTCAGTACAGGATACGTTTGTCTCACTCTGTTCCTCTACAGCACCTTCCTCCTCGTTCTCTTCTTCAGTCTCAACACCAGTCGTTGAAGTTTGCTCTTCCTCTGAGTCGCCCTGTCCAGTCAGCAGAACACTGGGCTCCTCCTGTTCCTCTTCAAGTTTTAAATATTCAAAACTGTCTGCCTCATCTTCTGAGTCTTCAGTCTCTTCAAGAGCATCAATTAAGTCCACAGTTTCAACGGGATCTGAGGCTGCTGAGTGTTCCTCCTCTTCTTCTGATTCTGTCGTCAGTGGGATTTCTGATTTTTTAGAAGACAGTGAACATCACAGTTTTGCATTTAAACCAGAAACAAAAAATGAGCAGGCCATAAGCATTACAGAAATCAACAATCATGAATTTGTATTCTGAAACTGAGCAACAAATGGAAAAAACATTTGCTATGGAACACCTAATGAAGATGACAGAGTAACACGTACTGTTATTACCGTCTAACAGCTCATGCGCTGAATCTTGCTTTTCCTGTGCCGTCGGCTCTTGCACATCTGCAGCATCACATGCCTGGAAATTGCAACACAGGCCATCGATCGTGAACATGAGTTGTGCGAGAAAGCTTGTGATTGCCAGTGGGTTCATGCGTAGGGTATATTCTGAGCCTCATCTGACCAACATTAAGTCCACTCTATTCCCCCCACCTCTGCTCAACCTGCTACAGTAACCCAAACACGTGTCTCTAAAGAGATAAAGGCTGTGGTGGTGAGGGAAGTCAAGTCATACTCAGTGAGGGAAGGATTAATGACACAGGAAACTGTATCTGAACACGGAAAAAGAAAATAGAAATAGACAAAATTCTAAATAATGGCAGCATTACAACATCACATCTCACTTTTTATCTGCTCCCATCAATACATACCTCAGAGCCGCTTCCTGTCCACTCTAAATTTGAGTTCAGAAGTTGTAAATCAAACCCATCTTCTTGCTCTATGGCCTCCGGTGTGAAAAGCTCAGCATTAACGTCTTGCGATTGGTGAAGTGATGGGGAAGTGGTGCCTACCCTCGTCACGCTGCCAGAGTCCAGCTCATTGGCCAAGCTGCTGTCAGTCATGAGTGGAGATGTGGGATCAGGCATGTCCCACTGCACTGTGGCAAAGGAAAGCAGGGGACTGGTGCAGGTCATGGGGTGCACCGGCCATATTATTTGCTCCCACTGTTCTGCCTCCTCAGAAGTGTCTCGTCCTGCCTTCGGGGAGAGACTGAGCTGATCTGTCCCGTCTGCCTGGTTCATCTGTACCTCTGTCTCGCCCCATACAATGGCCTGCTGTTCTCCATTGATGTGCAGGTGGTCTATCGGGCTCCATGAGTCTTGTTGAGGCTGCTGAGGGACTGACTCTGTAATATCTGGCAGTGAGGAGCACACGTCTTCCTCCTCCATTAGCATGTATCTCAGTCAGTTCCGTTGTCGGGGTGTTTGTGGGTTATGGTGAAAGGTAATGCAGCTTGTTACAAAATGTCCTCCTCTGCTGTCTGAAGGACGATCATATTGAAAGATCACATAAATGTAAAATCCTGAAGCAGGTTACAACTTCCAACGGCGCCATTCACAGATCTGCGACAAGAGAAAAAAAATCACCCTGTCAATGTTGAAAACTATTTTACCGCACACCCATCTGGACACGCCTGATATGGTGTGACAACAAATGCAAAAGGGTTCTGTATTTGAATGCCACATTTAAAAAAGCATTTTGGGGAACCTTCAGGAGGAGCATCTGATTAGCTGTTACACAAAAAAGCCATTCATAAAACAAAGCTATATTTGGTTGTAGTGTAAAAGTGATGTCTTTACAGAGCCTCTGTATTGTTTTCTATTCATCTGTGAGAAAGAGTCCATTATAAACTACTGCGGGCAGCACTTTAAATTTCAGACGACACTGCAAGCAAAAGCAAAGCTGAAATAAAATCATTTACACCCCCTGAAAGCACAAAAATACTCCACACTCACCACTTGTGTCAACATAATCCAGTTTAAAGAAGATATTTACCAGTTTCTTTTAGCCTGTGCTGTTCATTTATGAATTTTTTTGACTTCTCGGTGTGGCATTGCAAATGTGCAGTGCACTAGACTTTTAGTGAAATGTCACAAAAGCATGCTTCTACTTCCTGACCACAGACACAAAAAATCAGCCGAGCAACTCAGCAAGAGAGCGAGAGAGAGACAGAAGTGTACAGTGCAGATTAAGAGAGAAGCAGAGGGTGGGGTTCAGGGGTCTTTCTGGTGGGCACTTTATTTAACAGTCTAACTGTGTTTCTGCATTTATCATTTATCACCACGTTGCACTGTGACGCTGGGCAAAGGATAAAACCGTCAGAGTCCAAATTTGAGTTGCATGTTGTGGTTTTACTGGGGATGAATAATTTTAACACAATATATCTTATTCTTTCCTTCCTATTTCCTTCCCTTCACTTTTATTTATTTCTCCCTCTCTGCCACCCTTTTTTTAAAACTATACTTCACTGTATATCTTCATTATTCTATTCACGTCATGCAACCAACATCCGGGACAGACCTTGAACACATTTCCTGTGTGGGTGCTCACTTCTAGTTCCTGTCAGGGTGCAACAAGTGCTACAGTAATGTACGAGAATCAAGGAGGATCGTCTGTAAATGAATCACTCTGTGTTCAAAACAACAAAATGTGAAAATAACAAAACCTAAATATTTTAAAAGCAGCACTGAGTCTCTTGAAGTTCATACTGTCAGTGAGAATCTGACAGTTTAATAAACTGACAGTACTGATTACAATCTCTCGCTGCTCTACTCTATTGTGTGTTCAACATGATAACACAGTTAATCTTATGTGTGTGTTTTGTTATTTTTGACAGCATTGTTGACAATAAAAACTGTAAGAGAACTTCTCAGACGACAGAAAGAAACACGTTCTCACCCTCACCAAAGAGAGAAAAAGAATAAAGCAGGATACTTTCAGCCAAACGTAGAGCAACTCCAGTCTGCTGGTGTTTCTAACAAGTAGGGTTGCTTACAGTGCATGGAGGCTTGAGAGGATGGTTAACACAATACCAAAGGAGAAGTACAAATATTAAAAAAGTAAAAAACAATAGAGAAGGTAAAATAAAAAGAGGAACACAGCCATACTGGGGAAATTGAAAGTTGCGACTCATGAATATGTGTGTGTATAATACTAGAATCTATATAAATAGAAAAAACAATGGCTAGTATGTCATTCATTACCACCAGTGAACATGGCACAGATATAAATTTAAACCAACCTCAAAGAGCTATTAAAAAATAAATAAAAATAAAAAAAATCTCATTAAGAAGAATCATTTCTACTGTGAAGCATGACTTACCACCTCCAGGCTCTTTAAAGCAACATCATATGATCAGGCAGCTTGTGAGGGTTTAAGTCAAGTCTTGTGTGAGGGAAAGACACACCACTGTGTTATACTGGGGTTATACCGCTGTCAGAGAGCTGGGTCTTCACAGGCATATTCACCCACACACATGCACACAAGCATACAAATAACCCTCAGTTGATTAGGTCTGAACCTACCGCGCACAACAAACAAGCCTCACATCCGCTCTCTTTAAGCCGAGCTGAGTTTTAGTCTGTGGTGTTGCATAAAGATGCATGCAAGTCACAAATTCTAGTCTGGACTGGGTCCTCCTTCTTCTTTGTGCTTCCTGTCCATTCTTAGATAGCTCAAGATGAGACCTCCATATCCCTCCGTCCTGTTTTCGTCTCCCAGCAGATATGGCTGCGGGGAGAAAAAAAGGGAAGAATTTAGAGGACGGATGGAAGGAGAAAGCTGCTAAGTGGCAACAAAGAGGAAGAAAACGCACATTGTGATTGGCAGATGACTCAAGAGCGCATAGACACCTGAGAGGCCTCAACCCACGCCCACTGGCCTGAAGGCACGCAGGCAAACACATACTAGGTCAGGTGAGGGGAGTGGCTCAGCTCGTTCCTGTAACTAACACAGGAATGATGTGGTAAAACCAGCTGGTATCCAGATTCAATATGCACAAGTCATTACCCACACTGGAATTAGCTGTGTCTCTTGCTATTGGTTTACTGGCTTGGTGTCTGGATGTGGGTAGAAAAGCCTGTTTAACACAGACATGACAGCCTTTTTTTTTTAAAGGCTTACCTATAAGAACAGGAGTAAACCGACTGCATGTATCTTTTTATAGACTCCCTTCTATTTTTAAATTGTGCATTATTGTTTTTCTTTAACTTTACCCACTTTTTTAAAAAAAAATAAAAAATAGTTTTAGCATTACTGATAGCGTTTGCAATCTTCATTGACACGAGTAGCATCACTATTTACACACATTAGATGCAGTAGCATTTAGCAAGATCAACATTATTATTTTTCGCCACTTAATATTTCATTAAAATTATAATTACCACTTTTGTTAGCTTTGCTGCAGAAAACATGAGCTAGGTTATAGCATAGTGAAGCCCAGCTAGTTTAACTAGTTAACTAACCTAAAGTTAAATTAACGTTAATAATATTATGTACTGTTTTTACATGATTAGCATTATTAACATATAAGGCTCATTAGCTTCCCCCCTCAGTAATTAGTATAAACAGTATAAACAAACCCCATTAGCATGATTAGCATTGTGATTACCGCTGGTATTAAAACTGTAGCATTACCTAGCATTTATGAGAGCATCCTTGCAGCTGTAGTGAGTTAACGTTAGTTGCTAGTGTCTGTACAGGCTGGTTTTAGTAGTAGTATTAGTAGTAGTGACCTGGAAGTGCCAACTATAGTACAACTGTTTCTTGTTGTTATTTAAACACAACATTTATCACCGTGGTTATTATGTGTTTATCACAGTAACGTCTGCTCGGGCCCCGGTTAAATCCGACGGTTCCGCTCCGGACCAGCAGGGGGCGCTACTGACCCCCAGCCCAGCGTCTCCTCACCGTCACTCTCCTGCGACTGTCTCTGCTTTGTTTGTTCCGCACACGGCAGCAGAGCCGCACACACACCCACTTTTCTCTCTCTCTCTCCTCCAGTTACTTTTCAACCGTGTACAAACCATCTGGAGAGTCGCCTGCAGCCTGCAGTCGCCCCCGGGTCAAACATGGCCAAGTCGAGTGATCTGAAAATCTTCCTGGAGTCGTCTCTGAACGAGATCTTTAAAGCGACAGTGAGCGACATCCTGGACTCAGTGGACCGGACCCTGTCCGAGTACCAGGGCACAATACAGAGGATCGAGTCTGAAAACGAGGGCCTGAAGCGGCTGCTGTTTGCACAGAAGAGCACAGAGTCTGGTCCCAGAGGTATGGTTGTCTGCGCTCGGTTAATAATGTCTGTCTGTGCTTGTCTCCGTGCAGCTTCATGCAGCTACTGACCTTTTGTTCATGCATTGCCTGCACTGTCAGCAGATTGTGCCTGTGCTGTGTTTAGTGTGTATTCACCTCAACACAAATAACAAAGGTAGCATGAGAAGCAGACGTTCAGTACTTTCAGAACGGGGCTGTGCAAAAGGTTTATGAGGTGGAGAATAAGGGATCAGTGTGTAATGCAGCAGTAATAACACTGTTACTATCACAACATCCTCCCCACACTAATGACAACACACAGTAAACCTCTGGGTACATGAGGGTGTAAATATGTAACCCATTAACATATATCATGATCATCACTTACACTATTTTATTTACATTTTTTATTTTTTTTACATATTTCCATAAATAATCTGTGAAGCTCTCTTGTTTAAAATGCACCAAATGACAAAGGTGCGGTTGTAGCGGCAAAGAATTATCACACATTTTCACCCAACCCTGCTTTCAGTTCATTGTTTTGTTTTTTGTTTTTCTGGCCCGCAATTCCTCTCAGTTCCACCTCATTTCCAGCTGTTAACAGGCAGCTATTTCTGGAAAATAAAAGCCCTGATAAACCCACATCCTGTCACACACCAAACAGACAAAGTGAGCAACAAGCTGCTGAACATAATGGAGCATTTAGCTACTAGATGGAGAGTGAATATTGGGCTTGGATTTCTCAGGTAACCAGAAACACAGCTCCAAATGAAAGCTTATGTTGCTCCGTGTCGGCTGGATGTGTAATGAGAATAATAAGAATAAGAAGTGCCCAAAAATCTGACTTATGCAGCTTTAAATTGTAATGTGCCGACACTCGGTTGAGTTTGTTCAGGCTGTTTTGTTGCTCCCACATTGTCATCCAGTTGTTGGCAGTATTACTGTCAGCTAATCAAACATTTCAGCAGCAAGTTAGATGTGTATGACTCTAAATAACATATAAATAACTTTTACAGATATTCGTGAACAAGACGCCACTGAAAAGTGTTCGACTGCAGAATGGAACAATCGTCCCATCACCACCACCCAGGGCACGTTCAAGATGTCCATATGCAGCAGTGACAAGAAGAGCTTCAGGAGGAAGCAGAAAGACAAGATGAGGGAGAGCCTATCCTCCGCCACCTTTTTACTGCAGACTGATCACATGGTAGAAAGACCATGTGTGAACACAGCAGAGGCAGGTGTCTCCACCCAGAGCTTGATATCTGTGAAAACAGAGCCCGGCCTGGATGAAAGCGGTGCTATTGACCTCTCCCAGCCTTCATCCCTTCTCAATCTGACAATGAGGCCAATAAAAAGCGAGGGCGCCGAGGTCAGTTTAGACAGTCACGATGCATATGAACCTCTGCCGCCATCTGCAGGCCTCGAACACGACTCCAGAGGCAGCAACAGTGAAGTTAAAGTCACCATTGTTTCCGACAGTTATATGCAGGATGGACAGTTCATTAAGACAGAGGAGGAGGAGCAGAATGGCGTGTTGCAGTACGGGGACGAGTTGAAGCAGGCGTTGAGGTATTACCCCGAATCTGAAATAGATCCCGAGGGAGCGAACAGACCGGTTGAAGTAGTGACGCACGAGGAAAACGATACGCCTGCTGTTCCCGCACAAGAGTTTTTGGAGGTTCGCGACAACTTTTTGCGCTGTCCCTCCTGCCCCAAAACATTTAGTCGAGCGACCTCGCTCAACGTCCACATCAAGACTCACAGCGGCGAGAAGGCCCACAGCTGCAGCTACTGCGGTAAGCGCTTTGGCCGGGCCGATCTCCTCAAATCTCACAAGCGCACCCATACGGGAGAGAGACCCTACAGCTGCAACATCTGCAGCAAAACGTACGCCCATCCCAGTCAGCTCAGGATACACAAACGCGTCCACACTGGTGAAAAGCCGTATTCCTGCTCGCACTGCGGAAAGCGCTTCAACGAGCACAACCAACTCAAAGTCCACTTGCGGACTCACACCGGGGAGCGGCCTTACAGCTGCCAGGAGTGCGGCAAGACTTTCAGCAACGCGGGCAACCTGCGTATACACGAGAGGATCCACACTGGTGAGAAGCCGTACTGCTGCGCGCAGTGTGGGAAAAGGTTCAACGGCTTGGGCGACCTCAAAACACATTACAGGATTCACACTGGAGAGAGGCCCTACAGCTGTGAACTGTGTAAGAAGACCTTCAGCCAGGCGGGCCACCTCACCATACACATGCGGATGCACACAGGAGAGAGACCTTACAGCTGCAATGAGTGTGGCAAGAAGTTCACGGTGGCCAGCAGCCTTAAACTGCACCAGAGGACTCACACGGGGGAGAAGGAATACAGCTGCTCGTACTGCAGCAAGAGCTTCAGCAGGTCAGGTCACCTAAAGAGACACGAACTGGTCCACACCAAAGAGAAGGTCTTCCTCTGCAGCCAGTGTGGAAAGACCTACACTGACCAGTCCTCCCTTAAAAAGCATCTGAAGATGCACGCAGCCAAGGAGCAGAAGGCTCAGAGCGAGGGAAGCACCAGCGAGGCTGAGACCAACCCAGCCCAGCCTTCAGCTCCTGAGTCACTTTCAGACACTGAGAGAAATTAGAAAATAACAAATTATTGGAGATTATTAATATAAAAACTGAGAATTATGCTGTGTGTGATTTTTACACAATAATCTTTAATCAAGGTCAGCTTACTAGCCTTTTCAGCACTTTGAAACACATGTCAGAGAGTATTATAAAAGTGTTGAGCAGTGTTTTTAGCTCAGATGAGCCTTTAATTAGTTTCACGCAGGACTGTTTTTGGCCTGCGTGCTGTGGCCAGCAGGTGGACCGCGAGTTCAGATTATTTTGTCAAATTATTGTTCCCAAGATCCCGAATGAAGTTTCACACTCAAAACTGTATGTGATGTTTGTGGTACAGTGCAATACACTGTTGTCTGATCTTTGCTGTGATTTTTAGTAGGTCCAAATATTTAACAAAACCATATGGTGGGAAATTTAATTTTGGCTGATAAACTCTTAATATTCCTCCTAAAGACGCCTCTCTCACGACAAAGTGTAAAGAGTTACAGTCAGAAAATAAAAAAAGAACCACCGTTCTTTTGACCTTGCTGTATGTTACCACAGTGTCTGTGGTATGTTTTTTGAAATGCTTTAAAGGAAAAGAAGAAATATTGAATGCGGTGTGTGTCAGAGAAGAGAAACACTGTAAGTTCCCCACGGGGGTCAGTAGAAAATAATATAATTGTTTTAGAATTAAAACGCTTCTACACACATTTATACACTTTGTAGTAGCTGGAGGTTTAGAAAAGTGTGCTGATTTAAGGTGAAGCTCCTTAATATATTGCTGTATATAGCTTTAACTATACAGTCAGCAGTCTGAGCTATTGAACTGACAAGAATGTATTTATGTAATAATGTTACCGAAAATAATATTACTGCAAATACTCAGTATCACTTGACCAGCTTTCAATAGCAAACTAATACTCGTTTTGCTGATCTCAAAGAATGTCGAGTTTCTAGAGGATTTGTTTTAGGTTGTTCACTGTTCTACCAGGAAACTCAGAGGGGTAAAATGTCATGTTAATGATGATAGGGCTACTGTTTGTTGTGGCAAATGGTTGATATGCCTGCACAGCAATCTATGTATGTAAAGTGTTTGCTTGTAGAAATTTATTGTGACTTACTTTTGTGTGATCTGTGTCTAAATTAAAGAGAAAAGTTAACTGAAAGGTCTCATTCACGCTTCATGTTGTGATGTATAATGAAAAGTAAATGTTGTATGTTAAAACACAACTACTCGGAATACCAGCAATGATGAGGGGAGCGTCACAATGTGTATATTTTATTTCAAATGAAAAACTTTATGGTTTATGTTCACTAAAGTACAAAGTGCAAATACGTTCTGTGAGTTCTTTTTTTATATATATTTAGTGCAACCAGAAAAGCAAATACAAAACGGTATAGAAATAACTGAGATTTCCATAATACAATGGAGGTGAATGGAAATTTTGTGGTGTTCAAAACACTGAACAATTACATGTAACAAATTAAAACGTCCTTGTCACTCTGAATTTGTTATCTCTTAGATACCAAATAATTATTTTCATGATCATATACCCAGAGCCCAACGTGTCTTCTTCAAGTTATGATGCTGATGTTGTTATGATTGAAAAACAAAAGTATCCTCACACTTAAAAGGCTGGAACCTGGTAAATTTATTTAATGCTTAATCAGAATCAGAATAAACAATGTTAATAATACATTTTTTCATGGGTCAGCTAATGTTTAATTGATTAATCATGTCATCTCTTGTATCTCTATACCATGACAAACGTATACAACCCAAGCTATTTGCATGGCGGCATACCACTGGAGGTATGTGGGTTTGTTTTTGTAATATTGGTGAACCGACCCTTTAAAGGAATAGTTTGGGGAAATTGGCTTGTTTGTTTTCTGGCATTGAGTTGGATGACAATACCAATACCACTCTCAGCGAGCTTTAGAGACGCTGGCAGACAGATTTTGTTTCCATTTAACAGATCCAGAGTAGCTGTTTCCAGTCTTTGTGCTAAGCTAAGCTAACTTCCTGCATGCAGTATGTTTATATTTAAAGGTCCAGTGTGTAACATTTAGGAGGATTTATTGGCAGAATTAGAATATAATATTCATAGGTATGTTTGTATAATCACCTGAAAATAAGAATGATTGTTTTTTTGTTACCTTTTATATCTTTTATATGTTTTGTAGCGTTTTATATTATTATTTATTATGCATTTTTCACACATTTTGCAAAGTTTCTCCTTTCTTCGGAGGATGAAGGAAGGAAGTTGCGATCTGCAACTACACTGCTTGATGCCACTAAATCTGGACCTTTAAAAGGCAAATATCAGTTTTCTATCTAACTGCCAGAAATAAATAACCCAATTTCCCAAAATGTCAAACGCCTTAAAAGAAATTCTTTCTGCATAGGGATTTTAAAAAAAATCTATAAATCTAAACAATAAGCTATTCATTCTTTCAGGTCTGCCTCAGAACAGGCAAGAAAGTTCATCTTCAGAGTCATCCTTGGGGGACCCTAACCCCAGGTTGGGAACCAGTGCACAATAAATCGTTTTAATAATCGATTTGAACATCAGATCAAGCAAGAACATAATATATTCTCCTATATTTCACAACAACAGTACATTCATGTGAAAACCTTTGGAACACACGTATCCCTATTGGATCCGGGTCGCGCCGCTCTGGCAGCAGTTGAGGTTGCATGCCATCTTTTCTTTGGACAGATAGAGCATCGGTTGAATGCTGCTGCTGAAGTCCATCAGGCCAAATGCGACATAGTGAATATAGCATTTAAACACGTTAGAAGAGAAGTAGTCCTGGAAGGGGAACAGTGCGACAGGTGGGAAGTAGTTGAACACTATGATGGCCAGGATAATGAGGACCATCTTGAAGGCTCTCTTCTTCACAGGATGCATCTCGTCTCTGCCGGGCCCGGACTGCCTCAGCACCCACAGGATCGCAATGTTGCAGAACACCATGAAGGCGAAAGCTGCGAGGATCATCCCTGTGAAGACCTTCTCAAAGTTGACAATGTTGCCTACGCATTTAGCAGCAGCGTAGGCCAGAGTGATCAGCCAGACTACGAAGGCCAGGACCGCTCGGTGTTGACGGTCCTTGAACTTGGTGAAGGTGATGGGGTGGACCACGGCCATGTAGCGGTCTAAGCAGATGCAGGAGAGGAGGAGAGGCGAGGAGTCTTTCATGCCGTAGAAAAAGCGGAGGACATACCAGATGCTGCTGTTGTTGAGGAAGACTATGTTGGCCAGCTCAAGGGGAGGGATGAGACAGAAGAGTATGTCTAAAATCGCCAGATGAAGGATGAAGATATCTGAGGTGGAAGAGTCACCCTTGTTGGTATGGATGAGCCACAGCACCATGAAGTTGGCTGGGATGCCCAGGAACATGTTAATGAACTGCAGGCCCAGGTACCAAATGAGAACTGCAGGCATGTCTTTGCAATCCTCGTACACCGTCTTCAGGCCACTGGTGTCGTTGAGGGGTCTGTGAGAGACAGAGAGCACGGAGGAGTTCATGTATAAAACCTCCATGACGGCCGTATCAGAGAAGGAGGTCGTCAGAGGATGCGAGGAAGGCGAGGAACGAAGATCTGTCAGACAAACAGGAAAGATCAGGATCAGTTATTAGAGGCAATAGACAGAATAAAACAGAAGTGAAACTGAAGAAGAAGCTATGAGACAAAGATTAAAATAAAGCTGTGAGACGAAGATTAAAATAAATAGATATAAAAGTTAATAAGCAGTGTTAACTTTGAAAAAATGATGGTTGCGTTGTGGAGGGTTTACTGATGCACTTGTTGTGACATTGTCCACAGGTAAAGAGATTTCAGGCTGATGTATTTAAACCTTTGATGTATTCATAATATACAAAACATGATCAGGAATTAGTTTGCTCGGTGGAAAAATGCTTGCAAGAAACGACATGTAAAAAGCACAAGTTTGACATTTTGGGGGGGATCTTTTGCCTTCATTAGAGAGTTGATAAAGTGCCAGGAAATTGGAGGAAATGAGGTATGACTTATGTTCTATCTATATCTTGAGCTGACTCAAGTTGTGATACGATCAGAGCCTAAAAATAAATTTTTAGCAGGATATATGTTTAAAACATGTCTAAGAGATGTATTTCTATCAGTGTATTGATATAATATTGACATTTAATTAAATAAAACAAAACAGTAACACAGTTTCTAAACTTGACCATTCAACCTGAGTGGAACGATCATGTTCATGATAAAATTTGCCTGTCTGCTGTCGATCACTAAATATTTACATATCACTGTTCATATTACCCATCCCAAATTCAGATGAAATACTTCCTAAAAAGCACCTGTCGCTCAATTCTGTCACATGCAACATTGCTCAGGAAGTGTTACATATAAAATCTCTGGACCTTTTTAGATGATTCACAGTTAAGCAGTGGACATTTAAGTGTCAACTGTGACTTACTAAACTCTAACTAACTCCTAAATACCCAATGTAAAACGTTTTTAATGATACTGTAGACCACCAAACAGTAAAACGTCTGAGGCATGCTCACTTGCAAAAAGTAATAAAGTAAAGAAATGCGTATTTTAACAGATAAATCACTGAATCAAAAAGAGAAAAGGCAATCATATTGTGTAATTATCCTATATTACAGTCTGCATCAACAGCCTTATTTTTTGTGGGTTTTAATATTAAGAAAAAAACCATTTCACTTACACAGTGCTTGACTACCACATATTACAGTATAAATCATTATGTAATACAGGATGCAAATTTTTTCTATGCAGTTTTATATAGTAACTGAAACTTCTTACCTTAAATTGATACTTAATCATCTAATGAACTGATCCCCTCTGTCTCTGCATCACTGTCACACTGACACTGATGAGGCCGCAACCCAGTTCCTTTTCTCAGTCTCATGCAGAGCCACATGGGTCACACAGTGATATGGCAGTATATTGAAAGTAGCTTCATGAAAGGGCAGACTTGTTTGCATGTGTTCCTATATATTTTCACCATGTCAACAAGAGGAATGTCCCACTAGCTCCGTATCTAAGGGTAACATGTAAATATTCTAACTGACTCTCGCCTCCTGCAGAACATATTATCTAATAAGGTCTGCAGTGGCGGATAATTGCCACTATAAAAGACATGCCTGCAAGATTGAAGACCTAAGACAAAAGACATTTATGTAAAAACTGCAGTGTTTCTGTTTAAAGTTTAATTTCATGCCAAAATGACACTCACCTGCTTAATAGGATTCTGCAGCACCTTCTTAAGAGTGACTGGTGTCCCCCCAGTCTCCACCTAATCCTTGTGACTCCTGTGTACGTCTGTCCCACTGTGAGCAAATGCTGAGCCCTCACCTCAAAATGAATGGAAAACATCTTTTGGAAGATGACCCAACACTACAGGGATCCTGCTCCTGTCTGATCGTCCAATCACAGTGTCGAGATGAGGGTGTGGAAGCTGAGGATCTCCCTCTGGATGCCACAATGTCTTGTTTGGCCTCCCGTACATCCATCACACCTAAAGTTAACAAATAATCATAAAACGAAGATGAGAAAGATAATTTGAATGACATGAAAAAGTGTGAAAGAGAGCTGGCGTTGGGGGGAAAAGCACTGAAATATAGTACAGATTTGTGTAAAGGACGTGTTGTGGCAAGCCATCATCCATTCACACCGATCGGCAATGATGCAACAAACCAATGGTGCCTGACGGAAAATCGGCAGTAAACAACTGATGCAACAGTCCAGAAAATCACTTCTGATTCAATTCAGTGTAACGATGTGTAATATGTTACGTGAGGCTGACATGGTTCAAGGTGTGAAGTCCGTTGGTGGGTCTGTACTGCACCCAACATGCTAAACAGGGACCTGTATCTCAACTAACGACAGATCACACCACAATTCACCATTACAGGGTCTTTGGCCTTTTACTCCAATTTTATTAGATGCTAATTGCAATGCTAACATAGTCAATATATCATACTCTATAAACATGTTACAATAAAGGCCTGTTGACTGTTTTACCATCCATCACTTCTTCATTAATGTGCAGGCGATACAGTGGTGTTACATTGTGTTGTTCTGTGTCTGTGCCTGTTTGAACAGCTCTGTTGAAACTCGACCCAGGTTTGTTTATCTCGTCTGTCGGTCTCTGAACTTGTTTGTATTGGTGTCAGGTTTACAGGAGATGTGTCTCCCTCCTGTAAGGTAGAAGATTCTCACAGGTTTTTGCTAAATTCTGCATTGGAGCAGAAACACACACATGACAGCACACAGCTGCTTTTGTCCGCACAGGACTCATTTCAGAGATCATTGGAGCTTCTTGAAGTTGTGACTTCACATCACTGATTGTATGAAATGAACACGATATTGGCTCATGGGATATACCCATGAGCCAATATCGTGTTCATTTCATGAGCCAATATCGTGCACATACCGTATATGTATTTGCTTGTATTTCCCTGCCACAAACAGTAGAAGAGACTCAAATAGTTATTCTGTTTGTTTAGTTTAGTTCTTGTTCCTGCATAAAGCACCAGTCTACTATGCACAGTTTCAAATAAGAGGTACACAAATTTGAGTTTAAGCACTGTTTGTGTGTAAATAATAACCATATATTTTCATAGCAGGAAGGATTTGAAAGAGATGTTTGCAAATCTAATTTTGATTATGAGGTTACAGCGAAACCAGCTGCAGTTAAGATCCCCACCAGAAACATTTTACATTGTATAAAAATACTGTTTTGAATACTGTGATCTTTGCAGTCCTACATGAACACATTCTGTCAAAGTAGCAGGTTGTCTCCTGTCCACTCTCAGTGAATGTGACCTGGAGGTTTCAAGTACCCACATCACACGTGTTAAGTTGCATATTGAACCGTGATTGGCTTCCTGCTCGTACATTCACATGTTAAACTCAGATTTTAGGTGAGCACAGAGGAACTTTCCCCCTTCAGCAGCTGAACGTGACAACAGCCTTGGTGTGTTAAACTCTGTACATACTTCTACTATCCTGCACGGTGAAGCTCAAACATCCGAGTGAACCACATTTATGAGTGAAAGGGGGGCTTTAAAAATGTCAATTTGCAAATATATTGCGTATGCAATGAAAAAACTGGTGACCAACATGCAGTAGAGCTGGAATTATCAGCTGCATCCATCCATGATTCACTGCACCAACTGTCCAATTTTCCAGTTATACTCCTCATTAAAAACAAAGCAGAGCTAATCACATCTGAGGGTGAAGTGCAAATGTGGTGCATGAATTACATCAGATCATTTTCACTATCTAGGGACATTTCCTAGTCAGACCATCCGGAAAAAAGCCACTGATTCTTCGTCTAAAAGTTGAGTTTGTTTCCTGTTAAACAGCCAAAGGAACACTACTTCATTTATTCACATTAAAATGTGGAAGCAGAAAAGGAGAAGTTAAACCACAGAGAAGCATGAGTTTCTTAGATAAGGTTATGATCTTCTTCCATTTTCAGAACAGACATATCATCAACCACATCGGTTTGATAGAGACTTAAAGTAATGAGAAAAACACACTGAAAAGAACCACAGAACCTCATCTAGCGTTTGTTTGGTGGTATTTAATATTTTACATTTTATCAGAAGTTTGAGAACTCTTGATAGGAAGCAGAAGGAAAAGAGTTTCACTCACACATAATGCAGTTCGAGCAGCAAGAAACAATACAATCAAACAAATGGGAAACAGACATCAACAATATGTTAAGTGCAGTCTTCCCAGCAGTACCATACAGATCCATTATAAAACTACGTTTTTTTTTTCTTCTACCGCCACCCACTAACTAAATATTTATCTTGTAAACTTGTGGATGGCTGAATGTTTTTACAGTTTTAGTCTAAAGCCAACCTGGTAAAGACTCATACAAGGAAAACATTTTGTTTGTTTTTTTTACATCTGCGCTAACGTTTAATCTCCAAGTTTCAAACAGAAATCTCTTCAGAAGATAAATACTTTTAAATTGAAAACATGACCCATGCAAATAATCCACTGTAAAGACATACAGGGGATGTAGCACTAGATAGCCAAAGTGATTTTTTTTTTCCTTTTTGTTTCTGACATGACATCAGATCTCCCAATCGAGGAGCTCAGTCTCCGACCCATTCGCCCTCTACCGTGTTTATCCTCCTCAGCTCTCTTCTACGTGCAAACTTCCAAACTTCTCTCACCCATCTCTGCCTCTGCATCTCGATGGCTTGTTAGGCTTTCCTCCCATCTCTTTTTTTAATCTTTACCAAAAAACAAAAAACATCTCAAAATTCATGACAGGTCTTAACATTAAACATACTATAAAAACAGCTCTTTGCAGTAATTCCTTTCCCTCTGTGTTTGATATTAAACACTCTAAAACCCAGAAAGCCAAATGTCAGGTAAACATTATCAATTTACATTAAAAGGAAGGAAAGACATGGGCAAAGTGTATCTTATTATTATTTAGATAAAAGTACCAAACTTAAAAGATTTAAACAAAAAATGTAACTGATAGGTCACAGCAAGCAGATGCAGCTGATGATTTTTGTTTTCGTATTAAATTGTGAGAATATGGCATTTTATTCCAACAGAAACCATCCCCCCTATTGTCCAATACCTTTTAGGACCATTAAGTTTATGTTTTTTTCCATTGCCTGTGCAGTCGAGCAGCAGAAGTAAAAAACAGAAGTCTTTTGGGAGTGGGAGTGGGAGATCTTGCATATGCTGTAATCATGCGAGCAATGGAGTGATGGGATCTCATGAGACCCGACTGGTTTCTTGAAAGTGTTCCAGTCTTATCCAGTTTGAGTGTTCACTCTGGAAATGTGAAGGCATAAAGTAAAAGAGTCTTTGGACTCTCAGGTTAAGTCATTTGGGTCAGGTATTCCTCGGAGTGTTCACATCTAGGTAGTGCATGAATTGGTTTGGAGTGGAGGGGTCACGTGCCGCTGCAGTCGAGGGAGTTGGCGTGCCATAACTAAAGGTGCGTCACTGCTACAGGTGCGGGTAAACAACAGTCGGGTTCAGTCTTATAAAAGTTTTGCTCCAGACCAGCGGCATGATGATTCCTAGCTGAAACATGGTGATGTTACGGTGTTGCGTGGAGTGTAATTGTTCTCAGATGAAGGTGGAATCCATGGTGCTGGTGTCTTGGGCACTGCGGGCTCGAGCCTCAAAAAGCTGTTTTATCAAGGCCGACTTTTCTTGCTCCAGCTGGGCGATCCGCTCGCTCCTCTCTGTCACCTCCTTAATGAGGGAGAAAAAGGGAAAAGAGAACATCAGTACTGATGACTTGTATTAATGACTTGTATCTATTGGCAGTATGTAGACTATGTTAACCTGTGTGAGAAGTCGGTTCTGGTCCTTCAGTCTCTGGATGGCTTGTGGAGGAGCTGGACCCGGAGGCTGGGGGTTAGCTGCGAGCGCTGCTGTCTGAGCAGAGCTGGAAGGAAACGACTGCTGGGAAACAAAGAGGAACCAGTGTTAAACTGTGACATAATATGAATAGAGCTGCTTTGTCGTTACATGTCATAATTTACATGTCTAACATACCCAGCCTATATTTTTCAGGTTCAGACAGGGATTTCATATTTGCTATTTTCAGCTTTGGGTCGCAAATATTTCCCAACAACAACTGTTTTGTTTATGGCTGAGTAATCTCAGTCTACAGCCATGTTAGCAGCTCTGAGGCTATACTTTGGCACAGCTGTGCCTTGAGCTAAATGCAAATAAGAATAACGCTGATGTTGAGCATGAATGTTTACTATGTTCTACATCTTAGTTTACCACGTTAGTATAATAGCATTTGCTAATTAGCACGTAACCATTGACAGTATATATCGTGGACAGAGAATCCGGGTCTGTGAAGCGAAGCCAAAGCGTAAATGTCTTAAACCTGCAATCTCTCCAATGGCCAGCAGGGGGCAGCTCCATGGGTTGCAAAAAAGAAGTCTAATGGTATTGAGTGTTATGGAGAAATGATCCTTCTTCTCACTTGATTTATTAGCTCAGTGAACAGTTGTCTAATGAGTTTATGGTCAAGTTCAAGTCTTTTTCCATCCAGCATATAGTAAATTATTTAATTTGCCATTTATAGTCAAATAGATGATAAAGCAGGGTATACTTAAAGGTGTGGCTACCAAGTCATTCTCAGTGAGTTTGTCCAGCTCAATTTAGAAGCTCAATATTCTGTCACTGCGTTGCCTATTTCTCGTCTAAAATAAT